CATTGATTATCCTTCTGTATCGAAGTGCCTGTGAGAAGACTATACTCCGGAAGGTATGTCGTGGATGGAAACTTGAGAATTCAAGATACCTGTTGGCGTCAGTAGGTTTCCTAAACAGATCTGTTGTGAGTCTCCCTCCAACAAACTTGTACTGAATGTCCAGGAACTGAATGAACTCCGTGATTGGTTTCACTTCGTATGTAATATCTAAGCCATAGTTATCAACCATCTTACTGCGTAATGACCCTACCCATTCTTCAAAACCAATCATAGAACCTCTCCACATACCTTGGCCCGAAATATCATCCACAAACCGATCAAGGTTCTTGAGCTCCTCTGGTCTAACAACCGGGTCGTAAACTAGACTCTTTAGGACAAAGAACAAAGCAATGTTACCGCAATCATATTGCATATGCTTGTTAACTTTAAATGGATCACTATGCAATGAAACACACCAGTTGTTACAAATAATTATCAAACCCCACAGACAACATGTTTGTGGTACATTCTGAAATAGAACACAATTAGTATATATTATATCGATTATCATAAATATATAAACCAAATATATAGCAATTCACAATCTCCCGTTCTTTCTTAAAAAGGCTTTGAAAGATTTAAAATATTAGATATAAAATAAAGGTGTCACGAGAAAGACTATAATCTTTCTAAAAATAGAGAAACAAATTTTTTAGAGAAATAAATTTGAATTTTGATCTTTATTACAGATTAAACATATCATATATAACCATAAAAGCCGCGCGTCGGCTGATTGCCTCAAACTTGGATTGGTAGTAATTTCAGTTTACAGAAGCTGAAGGACGGCAGCTCAAAAGCCCCAGTGAACCATCGGAAAGATCAAGGACTCGAGTGCCAATAGTGGCTTTTTCGAACCCATTTTCGCCGATTTGCTGTGGCCCAGATGAGCCGCGCCCTGCTGCTTAACGGCACATGATGGTTTTTGTTTAAATACTTATTTAAATTTAAGCGATAATTCATTTGGTGGTTTACAGTTTTTGAATCATGTTCATCATTTATTTTTCGTTCAGTTATCACGTGTTTACAATTCAGTCATACCATGCATAGTCAACATTGTTGAGGCAACCAGCTTCCACAGTTCAATAATTGGAGACCGAAAATATAAATTGATCGAAATTTACAATTCATCGTTATCAAATATAGTCAATAATATTCTTGATTCCATTTAGTACATAATAAGTTGGTTTTATTCTCTTGCAACACTACTGCACAACAAAAACTGCGCCTGTCCACCAGCAACAGCGCAGTCATAGGTGTGCAGCCAAAGCTAGGCCACACACCTATGGCCGCGCCGGTTAAACAACTCTATTCAATCGTTATATTAGGAAATTTTAGTTAATTCTTTGATCACTCTTCAGTGCCGGTGGGCAGGCGCCCCGCATAGTTGGCTTTCCAAATTTACAGTCTCAAGAAAGCCGAAACGGTAATCGAGTCCCGGAGCAGAACACACATTTAAAAATTGAAAAATTAAAATAAAAATAAAAATAACAAATTAGAAATTAAAAATTAAAAATTACATGACTACGAGAGTCCAGACAGGCGACAACCACACAAACCGGACGAAGAGAGGACCCACTGCTGAATTCGACATATAATGAATTGTTGAAAACATAATGATTCCTACACTAATATGATCTTGAGGCATGCCCTGCATGTACTGTGCGAGTACATTGTAAATAATATCTGATAAGATGGGCCAAAAATAGCGGCACAGCGCGGCGCGCAAAATGCGCGGCGTGACCGCCGAAATTTTATACTTTAGACATTAACATTTCAATCGGCTTTAGCGCTCAGCATATCTTCATTGAGTAGACATTAGAATTTCAGTTCGTTGGAATCGAAGTTCAGTTCACACCAATCTATTTCGTCCTACCTGGACTGCATGCCGAGTAACTCCTTTTTTATTGTGGATTTTACAAGGTTCGTTGATGTAGAGAAGTTGATATTGCTAGGCTCAGTGTTTCTACAATCGTTCCACATTTTTGTCGATTGATATATGAAGGAGGTGGATGGGGTTGGAGTGATGAATCGATCAGCACGTCTTGATGATCTGTGAAATAGATTTAGGAGTGGGACTGGGGATTCTAATTTATTGATTTTGAACTGTGTATGGTTAGTAAACCATTTTTCTTAAATAGCGGTTTTGTGTGCTGTTTTTCATAGAAGTCGCTTCCTAATTTTTGCTTGTCTTTACTTCGTGTTCTAGCACAAGTTCTAAACTTTTCTAAGTACGCCTCTCGGTTACCAAATAGTATTCTAACACATTTCTTCTGAGTGATAAATATTGGTTCAAGCCTGTTGTTACTAAGGCCACCCCATACTGATATCCCAAATCGCAAGTGTGATTCAAATAGTGTGTAGTACAGTTCTTTGTAGAGTTTTTCTGGAATAATGTGCCGTATTCTACAAATTTTCCCACTTTCACATTTCAGCTTTGTGTTGAGCGACCGTATATGAGCATCCCATTTAAGCTGATCATCAATAATAACACCAAGAAACTTCACCTTTTTGACTTGCTTTATTACTACATTGTTTAGAGTAATAACTTCCCTCTTTGTGGATACATGCACAACATGTAATAGAAAATCGTTCTAAACGAACACATTATATAAATCACAAATACCAATATATATTCACTCTTTTAACTTCTTTAAGTTTCAAATTATTAAGATTATTAAAATCCTTCACACACAATATTAAAAACTTTGAATACAATGTTTATTATTGGAATACAATTCTAAACAGTTCATTGTCAAATTCTCCTGACGACAATACGTACCTCCCGTAGCAGTGAAGTTGGAGCTCCAGCTTCAGTCAAACAATCTGCAATTAGCTGTTTCTTTGTTGAAATCCAACGAACTGTCATTTCACTATATACTATATACTATTGTTCACTCGCTGTCTCAGGCAAGCTATTGGTATCCTCAATATATCCCTTGTCATCAACATTTTTCGAGGTTTGGATAGCATCATGTAGAGATTTGCAATCAGTCATTACAATGACATCAAGTTTTCCAGATAACATGAGATCAGATCAACCATCATTATGCAGATTTCACGATCTGTTGTACGAGCATGGAACACTAGTGATTACTGTTTCCAGTACGTTGTGACTGTGAGTGGGAGGACTGTTTGAGTATGAATGTGTCTTTTGTGGACTTGAATACTAATATCGCAGTTTAGTGACCATTGAAGTTGCCTTTTACTACTTCCTCTTATGTTAAATTATTATTTCAGCAATTATTTCTATTTCGGTTGTTTGTACGGGAGTTAAATTTTAAGTAATTTTGTTTTAAATTTTCATGATTCTTGAATCTCGAATTTTACTTACTCTAGATATGTTATTCATTCATGTCTAGTCGAGACGATGGTGTTAGTGCCATCTCCGACAACTTTACGTTTAATTCCGTTTAATTCCGTTTAATTCCATGATCTCACTCAGCTGAGCTTGGATCAATTCACATGTTTCCACTGCTTCGATCATTGCCCAACTCTCCGCTGCTAAAGTAATTTTACATACTCTCCGGATTTTTCTAAGGGCAATACACTATATACTGGTCTGCACTTAGTTGACGATATCAATTCATCGCAGCTCGCGGGCGAGGCACAGTAGCGCATTTTGCCGATCTAGCGTTGTTGCGAGAAGCATAATTGAGTGCGCGTCGCGGCACAATAACGCATTGCACTATAAGTTTGCACTGCCGCGCGTATAAAATTAAAAAAGAAAAAACAAATTTATATTTGATTGCCATTACAATAAATAATAATACCATAATAAATATAAGTAGAAATCCGATAATAAACTTGTTATGTCCATGCAGTACAACCCAAAATGCCACCCGACTAACAAAATAAAAAAGCTAGCATGTTCATATTGATCATGGTCCTTTAAACGCGCATACTTAGGCTGTACGGAAATAATAATAATTTTACGTCATATTACATATTAAAAACTCAACATAATTTTTGAAATACAAATGACAAAATTTAAAATAAATTTTATAAAATTTAAAAATATTAACAGTCAATATAACTAAAATTATTTAGTCGCAGAGCAACGATCTGGAACGGTTGACGCCGTCAATTTCCGATCCAGGTCGCATATCGCCAACTTAGTGCAGAATTAAGTCAGTTGTAGACATTTTTCATACGTATCAAATTGGATGTGCTTTCGGTGGAGATATAACCTGCACCTTATTTATTACCACGCTTCTTTTATGCCTTGTCTGATAACTGGTGTGACATAAGTTTCTGAGTTTTCAGTATAGTAAGCACTGATGAACTTTTGGATATCATATCAGAGATAACGTTTATTTTACACTAAGCTGTATACTATGTTTTGTGTTAAGTGGCATAGTATAAGAGTTTTGTTTATTAGCACTGAGAATTATTCAAACAATATACACATAATATAAAAATTACCCTATACAAAAATTCGATATAAATTCAATAGAAAACTAGATAAAATTTATAAACACCCTTTAGGTAGTATAAGTAAGCCAGTTTAAAGAACTGGCTCCAAATTTATATCTAATTTATTAGCACTGAGTTACCTTTGTATTGGTATTTCGGAGGTCAAGGTTTTTTAAAGTTTTTTATTGTTATTATTATGTCTTGTACAGGTATCAATGACATGATATGATAAATGTGTTTGTTATTTGTGATGAGAGCGTAAGAAAAGACTAAACATGATGGCAACCCCTTCTTGCTTGTTGATATCGACTCTTAAATTAGAAATTAGAAACTAGAAATTAGAAATTAGAAAAATCATTAACAAATTACATGTGTCAGATCCCAATCAGTTATATAAAAGTTATACAACCAAATAATTTAAAATCCGGATTGGAGTATTATTTATGAGTCGCATTGTTGTAATGTCTTTATCTTTATCTCGGTTGTTGCGACAAGTGAAAATGCTCTTATTAGGGAAATAATTTTAATACTTTCAACACTATTATATAACAAATAATTTGAGATCATGAATACGATGTAGTTACATTGAAACGTCGAGTAAACTCCTTTCCCTAATAAGAGCATTTTCACTTGTCGCAACAACCGGGATAGAGATAATTTTACACAGAATACACAACAAAATAAAAAACATAATATCGTAGATAAATAAATAAATGGTTTCAAAGTGTGCACGGAATGAAACGCAGTTCAAATGATGTTAATGAAGCTGAAATAAATAGATATTAATTATCAATTACAAACAAGTAAATATCAATCATGGAATATCCTAATGAGAGAATATGTATAGAATAACATCAAACATAAAATGTGTCTATAGATAAAAACCAATACTTACCAAAATAAGAATGAACTGGATCGAAAGGTAAGTTCTGAATCTTCAGGTGTCCAGATATCACATTTCACATGCTTACAGGAAACAAGTGATTATCTATAATAATTTAAGATAACCTAATGAAATGAGATATAAGGCTTCTTCCCTCTTAAGTTCTCTTAGAAGTGGGTCGAGAGCTTGCCTTTCTAAAATATCTATAGACACCATGGAGACACATTACTTACTATTTATATATACCCCTCTATATCCATGTTTAATAATACAATTATTGCTGTGGGTGGCATGGTGGGCCTTATCTCTGATATAGATAAATGATTCCTCTTTACAATTGATGATTCAGGTTGTAGTCATACAAAATGAATTCTTATATTGAAATAACTAACCTAACTCCTATTTTTCAGTAATCTAGGATGTTGAACTGATTTCTTGGATCATCGAAGTCCAAATAATGTGGTTACCCGGAGCTGTTCAATGAATCAAAAGGAATGGATGATCCGGTTATAGCATGTGTCAGTTATGTGGTCAAGAAAACGTGCATCACTCTTGGAAAGTTCCTTGAATTTCTAGGAGAAAGACTATTGGATCTTTTAGGCTTAGCACTCATTTTAGTGGCTTGTTGCACTATTATAAGAATCCCTGGTGTTATCGATGGCCTTTTAAATGGAGGAGGTAAAGTCAGATGGAGGTGGAAGTATGTTGGATTATGGCAGCTTTTGATTTTCATTTTGGATCTTCCACTCTTAATCTCATTACCTTTTTACATTCTCTGCCCTTGGAGAATTTACTTAGTTTATGCTGGGATAGTGAAGCACAATGAATTTGAAAAGTATCGCTGGGAAGGATGGGAGGTTAGGGGCAGAATTTTGAAGCATTTCGTCCTTCTCCTTTTTGACATTCTTTCAATCCCATTTACTATCTGCCTTACAGTGTCTTGGAGATGTATCAGATGTTTCAACCTATTCTCAAAATGCGATAAAAAAGAAAGAACTGTCAAGTTTCTGATTGTGTGTCAGTTTTTACACCTGGTGTGTGACATCTTAGCTCTTCCTTTTGTTATAATACTGATGCTTTCCTGGCGTGCACCAATAATTCTAAAAAAGATCAAGAAAATATACTTTGCCAAAAGAGAAGTTTCAAATAATAACCAAACTCCCGAAAAGGTAGAGCTGGACTTGGAGGAGCAACCTGAAGTTACCAACGTTCAGGAAGCTCCTGAAGTAACACACCTAGAGTCAGAGGAGTTAGAAGAGAACATTTCTGAAGAGACACCTCTGGAGTTAGAGTCACAAACTCCTGAAAGCACACAGCTAGAGCTACAGGAGGAATTGCATGAACCGAATGAGGATGTGGAACGTGCCAATGAAATTGATCTTAAAATGAAAGGTGTGATCATCAAACAAACATGGAGCTTAGTTTTAGATCTTTCATCTGTACCGGCCATGATCACCACTATATTTTCATGGAGAATCGTATTCTTCTTGTCTAATTGCACAAAGACGTTTACAACCAGAGACCTAAGTTTGAACAAGACATATTCATACATCAGATGGAAGTTTTGGCAAAACTTGTTGTACTTCTTCATGGACTTGCCATGCATATTTGCTTTCATTCTACTTGTAGTCTTTTTTCCAATTATACCATGGAGATTGGTTCAATACTTATCTGGGTTCAAATCAAGATTACTTGTTGGTCAGGATGGAAAAGAATACAAAAGCTCAAAAGGGCGTCAAATGCATGAAAGAAAGCTACTCATTGCAGCATATGCAGTAATTGCCTGTGATATTGCATCCATCTTTCTCACAATAGTCATTACAGTAAGTTTGTGGAGGCTGCCATTTTTGGTGTACGATTTGAGGAAAGTACGAAAAGAAACATTGAAAGCAGATGCGGGTACAATTTCTAAGCAATATGGGTTTAAAAAGTCTCTAAAAATCTGGACAGTTTGTGTCACCAACTTCGTCCTATTGTTTGCTGATCTGCTCTGTAGTTTGACAGGTTTGATTATCATTGGTACTCTTTGGAGAGCCTACCCATTACTCTCTTCAATCAAAAGCTCACTTTCTCCCAAACGTAAAGATGATGACAAAGAAAATGTACAGATCACAGAGAAGCTATCCATTTTTACAGTTAATGGTATGAAGATTAGAAAAAATGTTCTTAAACATTTTTTGTTTCTTATCTTCGATATTCCAGCATTAGTGTTGTGCTTCATTCATATTCCATTTGTCATAAAGATACCTGCCATCATTTCTGTTCTGCTTGGAGGAAACTTTTATCTTGAATTTGCTGTGACAGTCTACATCGAAACAGCTAAGCTAATTGCAGACATAGTGTTCTTTTTCATATTCATATTCATGTGCTTTGTCAGACCTGTTGCAATTTGGGTCAACGTTCTGGAAGATGAGAAGCATAAGAAGTACAGACTTTCAGCTGATGTGTTGCTTCACGTGAAATGGTTAATTGGACAAAGAGAGAAAATGGTCGATGAATCAAAATCACTGCTCTCTATGGTCATAAAAAACTCCCAGGCAAGGGAGGGAGATTAATAGCAATGCTGGACTACAAGTTGATGACACATCTGAGCAAAACCTCGCTGAAGTTTTAATCGCAAATGTCATTTGCAAATACACCAAAAAACTTGAAAAGGTTAAGAATACACTTTACGAAGAAGAACTTGATGACAGGTTAATGTACCATGTTAGTCAAGTCATATTCTTTGAAAACAAAGTAGCACACCTTTTGGGGAGACGGTTCAAGGTAGAGAAGATGTTTCTAGCAAATCCTTCACTAATTGCTTACAGGAGGAATTTAGATCTAATCGAAAAAGAAGATAGCTTGTTTGAAAAAAGAAGATATGATGCTGTAGAAGCATTAAAATCTTTCAAGTTTGAGCAAACTCCATTGTGGGAAAAGAAGGTCGGTTTTAGAGAGAAGTCCCGGAAAGAAACTCAAAAAGCTATTATTTCTGCTGTAACTTCTGGTAATTTTGTCACCTTTCTTGTGTGCTTCATAAATACACTGCTTCTGTACAGAGCTCCTTCGATGTTCTTGTCAATCTGCAGAGCACCTCATCGTCGGAGAAAGGTTGCCTTGAAAACCTTAATGAACTACTTGTTGGATATCTTCATGCTAGCAAAGATTCTACTGATTTGTCTGTCTGTTTACAAAGTGCCTGACCTTATCTCTGCCTTGGTTGTCAGTCTGTTACAAAAGCGGAGTATTAAAGCAGCTAGAAAAGCAGTTGATTCTATCCCAAATGAAATGCTTCATGATCTTTTCAGAGTATTGGCGATTCTTTTCAGCTGGAAAAGCATAGCATACACATTCTCATCAATCCTTTTTCTAATCTTGATGCCGCTATCAGTGATGGTAAAGATTTACTCTGCCATGTTTCAAAACATTACTGTGGCATACATATTTTCTGGGTTGTGTTATGCTACAGTGCTGTCCCTTCCGTTCATCATACCAATCGCTCTACCTTCAAAGATTGGTATTTCTATCGCCATGTCTGGAGTTGTTGCCGGTTATATGTTGCTTCTAGTTCTGATCCTGATCGTCTTTGTACTGATTTATGTGAAAAGTGTTGAGAAGACAAACTTTCAACTCAAAAGCATCGATTATGTGAGGATAAATTGGTTCAATATTCATGTGTACTTTAAACTGGTGATCGAATTTCTCCAATTAACTGCTTTAGTGTTCACAGTTAAGATGACACATTTCCAGCACAGAGATTACCTAACAACAATCTCAAAGTACATTTTGCTTGATGTCTATAAACCAGTGATAAAGTTTTCCTTAGCTTGTGCAGTTTTTGTGATTTGGTTTTTCATCGCATCTATACCTATTATATTGGAAGGTATTTTGAAGTATGCTAACAAGGGGACGTTCTCAAAAAGTCATTTCACCTGGAGAGCTTTCTTGAGCTTTTTTGGCAGTACCCTGTTCATGGTCATCCCGGAGATAGGATTGTCATTTTTGGCATGTGATTACTCAATAACAAAGGAACTAGATAACTCTGTTAGTGCTTCGTTAATAGACGACTCTAGCATGAAATGCTGGACCAATAACCACGCTCCTTACGCAATTTTATCTCTATTTGGAATGATGTGGTACTTACTGACCTCCACCTTGCTTTGCCTAACCTTCAGTGACAACTTGAACCAGAAAATAGATCTGCAGTTTTCTCCAGCTTACACTGCAATCGAGAACATTTTCAAAGTCAGTATTGTTACTGTAATGACCCTGTTCAAAGACAGCATTTACTCTGTTCTTACTGCGTTAGTTTTGGTGGTTACCCTGATTTTCGTTACCTGTTTTTGGAATGTAATGACTCAAACAAACGTTGCGAACTATTTCAGGCTCATTATATTGAAGGTTGGATTACTCACAATTGTGGGATCATTTGCCCTCATCATTATTGCAGTTGAACAATTCGAGATCACTGGGATTGTTGCAATCTGTGCTATGGCCGGAGTATTGGTAGCTGTGTTTATCATTATATCATTAGCTTCCATGTCAGGCTGGGGTTTGATAAAGAGTGAGCAGGAAAAAGCTCGTGATGAATTCAAAAAGTTGGTTCTTAAGATAACTGCCAAACTGAAATCAGTTGACGCGTTGGTAGTTTCCTGGAGTCATGTTGAGTTTGTATTTAGGAGAATGCTGAGACATGTCAGAGTAGCTGATCCTAAAGACAGGATATTTGAAGACAAGATAGCTGAAGAAATGGGTAAACAAATTGAAGCTAAGGTCACGGAAGAGCCTCCTCCTCCCCCAAGTTACAGTGACTTATCATCTTTTGATGCACTACCAGAGCCTCCTTCATATGAGTCCATCCTCGCAGAAAAACAAGCTGAACTTCAGGCTGATAGCTACTTTGTACCTGACGCTAGTATCTATCTGTCTCCTTTCGGAAATTGGATGTCTTTTGATGCTGCTAAGAAACTGGAACAGTATGGTTGGATGATAGCTGATGCACCTGATGCGGTAATAGAGCTTACAGACGCTCAGTGCACAGGTTCGGACCTTCTCTTACTACTTGAACAGCACGTAAAATACACCTCCCACTCATTTGAATTTGTGAAACAGATTGGCAATTGGAGAAAAGCAGTTAAAGAGTCAACTTGGGCCGGACTACTGCAATGTACGAAAATATTAGATTCAAGTTTTGATTCAAGTTTTGTGAGGCCAAAAAATGCTTCGATAGCTCAACCTAATGAAAGTGAAATGATCTCTCCGAATCCTGATCAAAGTACATTTCCAATGAATTTTGAGTTGACGGATGTTACCTCAATTAAGATGAAAATTCACAAACAGGAACTGGAAAAACTTCTTCTGTATATTCCTGAACCTTGGAAATGGGTGTTTGCGAAGATCATTCCCAGCGATATGCCAGTAATTAAGAGAGTGAAGGACTGCGATGATGGGACCCCGCCATCTCATTTCTCTGTAGATCTGTTCAAACAACTTAACATCACTATCAAAGATATAGATTCTGGAGGTTTCAAAATAGCTCGTGGTGCAAGAATTGTAGTTCCTAAAACATTGAACATTTTAAACTTGAGCTGCAACAACATCACTTTTTCAAAGCCATATCTTTCGGGGAGCAAAGGGCCAGTAACAAAGAATGTGGACAGCCTCAACGCTACAAAGGTTGGTGAACATTGGTATGTGGTTGTGGGTAAGAATAGAGCTAAAGTTTCTAAGATATTAGCCTCTTTGCATGGACTAGAGTACGGATAAATGTTATTTTGTTATTAGCTTTTGTTTTATTAAATTTGTTGTGAGAACAGCGTGTTAGAGTGAACGATATATTATACATATAGTACATTGTACGTATAGTAAATGATATGATGGATGATAATGTCATGCATTAATAAGTTTTACTGTATATGATATTTTGTTTTTGATGAGCGTAAGCTGACGTTTAATATGAAATCTACAAATCAGTAATAATGCTATAATGGTATTCAGCCGCAGACGAGATATGTCAAGTCTACATGACTAGAACCAATACTAGTAGCTCTTTAAATGGAATACTTTTCTTTTAGATTTTGAGTATTTTGTTTTTGTTTTATCTTGATGTTATTTTGTTTTTGTTTTATCTCGATAGACCAGCAACTTTGACATCGGCGATCTCTATTTTTGTATTTATTGTCGATAAAAAGCGGGATAAAAACACTTTTTAATTTTTATTTACCTAACAGATTAACAGTGTACATTTAATTGTACAGTTTTGGTTTTTATTTTCATATAAGGTCTTATTTTCAGAACAGATTTAATTTGATTTGTCAAACACAAACCCTACCAATGCACACTAGAAGGCTTTTGTTCCCGAATCTATACAGTGCTGGATTTTAATAAGAGCATTAGCTTTAGCTCTGATTAGGCTGACAAACGGACAGTTTCATGGTTTAATCAATGCTATTAAAATACCAACCATCGATGCTTTGTATTGATTAATTTTGTTCAAATTCGTGTCCAACTAGTTATTAGAGCTCAGGTAGCGTAGTTCGACAGTCGAAGTTGTATTGTCGAAGTTCACTACGTGTCGAACTAGAGTCCAGGTTGCGTAATCTACTTCGACATAGTTCCCATAGTTGATCTTTAGGGTTTTTTAACTACACTACGTGTCGAACTAGAGTGCGTTTACCAATAAAACAACCCTTCTGGTTTTGTAACTATGTAACTAACTATGTAATGTATTACAATCGATAGTGATTATGAATTTGATTATGATACTGATAGATTGTTCTTGAATGTTGTATACTTCATGCTTGTGTGCTAGTTCTTGTTTGGTTTTTGTTTTTCAGCTTTTTATCATGTTGTATGGCTAAAGTTAAAATTTGATAATTTGATATCTTACTATTCTGTTTTATTGCTCTCATACCACATGATATATCTGTGTGTTGTCACATTGCTGCACAGTGTTTGGAATATTTGAGCTACTTCTCGCCAAGCATTTCTAATTTACAAGCGTATAATGGTTTTGGGCTTTTCTGCACGGTTTTCAGTGAAGCTAGATGTTTTGCCTTTCTCAAATTTAGATTTATTAACCGGTTTTTCACCTTCCCTTTACCGATTATAACAAATGTTAGGATGGAAAATCTATTTGGACCGAAGCTAACCTCCCATGAAGGTGAGGTAGATACTGTGAAGAAGACAAAGTTGTTGGTTTGTACTTCAGTGCATATTTGCACCCACATTGCAGACCCTTCACCCCTAAACTTGCTGAAACCTACAAGATTCTTATCGAGCAAGGAAAGAACTTTGAGATCGTGTTTGTATCCCATGACAGAGATGATTCTTGTTTTAATGTAAGTACATATTTTTAAATATCAAAATTACAGTGAGTTGGGAAAATGAACTATAATTTTAAAATTATTACACTCTCATTGTGATGACCATCCTCTGACCTTGCTATTTTTAGGGTGACTTCAACTCGATGCCGTGGAAAGCAGTGCCCTTTGATGAGAGCGAACTTAAAGAGTCACTAATTACGAAATTCGAGATCAGCGGTATTCCTACTCTTATTATTCTGGACCCCTCCGGCGCTGTGAGTTTCATTATCCTAAATTTTAAAACAACTTTATAGTTATGAGTTACTATGCAGTTCTTCAAAGGGATTCTTCACAATTTGAAGAACATTTAAGTCTCCCCCTCCTTTGTGGGTTTGTTCTAAAAAGTTTAAGAATATAAAGTGAAATGACTTTTACATGGGTTTACACAATGTTACTAATAGCAATTATTCAGATTATCACAAAAGATGGGGTTACTCTGATTAAGGAAATTCCAGAAGAAACGGCAGAAAACTATCCTTGGGGCTCGGTTTAATCAATGCTATTAAAATACCAACCATCGATGCTTTGAATTGATTGGTTTTGTTCAAATTCGTGTCCAACTAGTTATTAGAGCTCAGGTAGCTTAGTTCGACAGTCGAGGTTGTCTTGTCGAAGTTCAGTACGTGTCGAACTAGAGTCCAGGTTGCATAATCTACTTCGACATAGTTCCCATATTTGAACTTTAGGGTTTGTTGAACTACACTACGTGTCGAAATAGAGTGCGTTTACCAATAAAACAACACTTCTGTTTTTGTTACTATGTAACTAACTATGTAATATATTATTGAAAGTGATTATATGAACTTGATTATGATAGATTGTTCTTGAATGTTTTATACTTCATGCTTGTGTTCTAAGTTCTTGTTTGGTTTTCCTTTTTTAGATTTTTATCATGTATGACTAAAGTTAAGATTTGATAATTTGATCTCTTACTTTTCTGTTTTATTGCTCTCATACTGCATGGTATATCTGTGTGTTGTCACATTGCTGCACAGTGTTTGGAATATTTGAGCTACTTCTCGCCAAGCATTTCTAATTTACAAGCGTATAATGGTTTTGGGCTTTTCTGCTCACCGTTTTCAGTGAAGCTAAATGTTTTGCCTTTCTCAAATTTAGATTTATTAACCGGTTTTTCACCTTCCCTTTACCGATTATAACAAATGTTAGGATGGAAAATCTATTTGGACCGAAGCTAACCTCCCAAGAAGGTGAGGTAGATACTGTGACTGCTCTAAAAGACAAAGTTGTTGGTTTGTACTTCAGTGCACATTGGTGCCCACCTTGCAGATCCTTCACCCCTGAACTTGCTAAAACCTACAAGCTTCTTACCGAGCAAGGAAAGAACTTTGAGATCGTGTTTGTATCCAGTGACAATGATGATTCTGGGTTTACTGTAAGTACATATTTTTAAATATCAAAATTACAATGAGTTGGGAAAATGAACTATGATTTTAAAATTATTACACTCTCATTGTGATGACCATCCTCTGACCTTGCTATTTTTAGGAGTATTTTAACTCGATGCCGTGGAAAGCACTGCCCTATTCTGAGAGAGATCGAAAGGCGTCATTAAGTAAGAAGTTCAAGGTCAGCGGTATTCCTACTCTTGTCATTCTGGACCCTTCCGGCGCTGTGAGTTTTAAATTCTAAAACAATTTTAAAGGTGTGAGTTACTGTGCTGTTCTTCAAAGAACATTTCTCCCCTCCTAATAATAATGTGTCAAAATTTGTGGCTTTGTACTAAACAGTTTAATAATATAAAGTGAAATGACTTTTACAATTACTCTCAATAATATATCAGATGCGCAGACTATTAGTCAAATGACACAATAAAAGAACAATTTTAATAATAACGATCGTTCAGATTATCACAAAAGATGGGCGAACTCAGATTGATGGAGATCCAGAAGGAGCTAACTTTCCTTGGGTGCCCCCAGAAGTGAAGGACGTTTTAGGTTTGATTCTTTGGAAACTTACTAAATATAGTATTAGTTATTCTAACATGATGCCGGATTGCGATGGAATTGTGACATTTCGTTTCGTGGGAATATGTTTCTGATTAAAGGTAGAATACTGTGCCGTTTTTCGGTTGATTTTACAACTGTCACAAATATCATTCCATCTTTGTTAAATAACTTAATTATTTTACTTAGGAACTGAGTTTATGAGCAAGGATGGTAAAACTGTGACATTGTCCGAACTGGAGGGTCACCACATTGCGGTCTACTTCTCCGCTCATTGGTAAGAAGTTCCTCTCTTCGTGTGTAACAACATTTCTTATTTCTCTTACAATTTTAATGATTGTGTGATTGTTTATTAACCGCATATTATAATTTGAAAGTTAGTTATTTCTACTAGCAGATGCTTTCAACATCTCTTACAACAGTTACCTGATAATGATATGTCGAGCAGCATTCTTGGAGTTCGCCAAAAACTAAAATAGAAAAAACAACATCTATATAATAATATCTCAATACTACTCAGATATTTTCTACATTTTTACTGTACTATGAGTTGGTATGTTTATACAGTCAGCACTGTCATGTTGGTTACTTAAACAACGCATTTAATGCCGGAAACGTAGCTTCCCTGTACACTAAGTTCGGTGGATGTATTATTGAGTTATTATCATGGATACACTAGCCCTATCATAATATTAATACTGGACAACCTTTTCAATGATACTACAGAAATATGTTTATTTGAGAACCAATAATTGCGTGACAATAGCTGCCCGACACAAATGAATTGAATTGAACATCATATAATGTCATCACCGTTCCTACTGCTGAACTACTTTAAATATTACACGTGTAATCTACTCATTTTATGCTTTCACATTATCTTACTTCCTTTTCCCATCAGGCAGTTTCTGCATCTAGTTTATTTCTTTATTGCAACAAATCATTTAATTTGCATTCAGCATGCGACTTAAATTATGGTAACCAAAACTTTTGTAACCAAATTTATTGTAAATCAAATTTATCGACCTTAAGGAATCGCAACAAATTTCCCCATTTTTAGACTAATTTGCTAACAATTATGTAAAGGTCATGAGCCAGTCGCTGCATGGAGACATATTAATGTCCTTGCCATACGGTAATAACTTCACTCACCAACTTTCTCTGTGAAAATAAAAGAATCGAGCTCTCTTCTTACAGTGTCTAGACATTCACAACAAATCCTCTGTTCTTTAGTCGGGTGGTACATACACAATGACATTCCTGATCATGCGCAGATTGTACACAGCATGGGTATACCAAATAGGTATACCAAATAGTTGGCAACTGAGTACTATTGTATTGATCTATACATTTTACATTGTATATAATATACATTGTACATTGTATAGATACATTGTACATTGTATACATTGTATCTATAGTATATATAATGTATAACTCATCCAATATTCTTGGATCCAGAGCTCCAATGATCTTGTACAATAGTGCTAATTTTGTACAATATTAAAGAACACAAAAACCACGTATTCTTGGAAATTAATTAAATGGAGGCTTCTAGTACCCCTCAGTTCTCACTTGCTAACATTCTCAATTTCAGGTGTCCACCGTGTAAGACATTCACTCCTAACCTGGCTAAAGTTTACACTACGCTCAAGGATAAGGGTGTAAAGTTGGAGATAATCTTTGCTTCCAGCGACAAGAATGAAGAAGAGTTTGAGTAAGTAGAATACGTTTTATAACTTAAGTTCTTGTTTTAATTTCAGTTAAAATTAAAGAGCACATGGTCGAGAATCATCGTATAATTTACTGAAAACTCCCGCATAATTTGCCATTGTGAACAGTTGCGGAGCCACATAATTTGTAAAAGAAATGGAACAGTAGCTTAATGGTGCCCTCTTATTCAGCTGGAAATATTTAATATTCATCCCTCATTCCTCAAGCTGTATGTACGTTAAAGTGTATAATCTTAATACAATAGGACCCTTATTTAACGAAACTGCATCTGTACTGTACAGGTTACACTACACTGTCTATCACTTGTCTACACTAGCTCCGTGTATAACTAATATGCCGTCCCAATGAGCTGCTGTATAGTGTATACACTGTGGGTACTTGGGCATTTGAGAACTAAGATAACTGTCACGCTGCATTACTGAGATATAAAGTCTTCAGCTTTATTGTTTATATCTATAAATAATCATGTACAGTGACCACTGAAACTGTAGATCATTTTCAATTTTGGATTGAAATGTAAATACATTTTACGAGACCAGTGGTGATCTCTGTGTCCGGTCTGAGTGGTACCCGTCACACGTGCAGCGAGTAAAATGGAGTCTCTCATCCGCCTTGTTGGTGAGCAGTGGTGGCTAGTGGTGGCCAGTAACCAGAGTCCAGTGCAGTGACCAGCGTGATAGTATGATCCAGTAATTTAACATGTTGATACAATGTAGTCTCCATAGAGACCCATTTGTCATTGATCTGCAAATATTGGAGCTTTTTGTTTCCATAGCAACCTGATATGAATTAAAGGATACAAGCTTTTCAATATGGAGGTGTAACAGATGTGTCCTTTCTCATGATACCATTCAAAAGATAAATTCTTTTTTACTTTCTAGAAATTATCGTATCATGTTTCTTGGCAATCGAATTCAACGAGCGAACCTAAGTCTCAAATGCAAAATTACTATAAAGTATTTATAGTTTATAAAGTAATAGTGTGCCTTTTGCTATCTATTGTACTAGTACAAAACAAAATTCATTCTACTATCTCATTCCTACTATAAAAGGAATGTACTCACGCCACATTCCTCCTGAACACCGCCCAAATGTAAAAGGGAATTAGAAATGTGTTGATTAACCTGATAAGTTTCTGCTGTACAATGTACTGAACTATTATACATGCTGTACTGGTCATAGCATCGCTTAGAAGGTATATTTGCCGGCCACCTGCCAAGAGGCGGACTTTGTTTTTGTTACTTTTAGCGTCGATTTTAGTAAATTGTAATATTCGACAAAATCATTGAAGCATTTTGTGTGCTGGTTTTCAATTAAATTACCCAAAATTCAGGATTTAATTTTGTCTTACAATTCTTCCTATAAACTTGATGATGTTAATTGAGTCTTATCTTCAGTGAGTATTACAAGGAGATGCCATGGCTAGCGCTCCCGTACGTCGACAGGGAACGGAAATTAAAATTATCACAGAAATTCGGAGTGACAGGTATGGGGGTGTTAATTATTTTGTAATTTAGAAATTAACAAATTGAAACATTTTGCTTGTTATACATTGTTACTTAATAATGCTTATCATTTAATTTTGAGCATTTCAAAGAAATTTTCCCTCATCTAAGAGTCAAGAAGTAGTTCAAGAAATAGCTAAAGTAATCTTACACAGAGTCTAGACAGCTTAGATGATACTTTTCCGTCCTATAAGTAATCTTTTCTACAAAACAGCCGGTATTTCCAACCCCTAGTTCACTTGGAACTTATACTTATGTTATATATCCTAAATACAAAATCAGGCGTGCCTGCTAGCAGTTGGTACCTGGATAGTGGATATCATATTACATAAACAACAGATATTTGTATGAGATCATTGATGATATAAACCCCATGACGTGATGGAATGTTAGAAATTCCAAAAGAGAACACTTTCGATTGGAAAATGAGATAAACAAACATTTCCAAATAAGGTCATGTTTGGACAACACACATCCAAATAAGGTCATGTTTGGACAAGACACATCCAAATAAGGTCATGTTTGGACAAGACACATCCAAACAAGGTCATGTTTGGACAAGACACATCCGAATATATATTATATTTGGTCCAATGGAATAAACCTAGCATGCCTTGGTTGCAGCATCACTTCACTTATAGGTGCATATAGGGCCCGATGTTATTGCTATGACCAGTTTACTGGTCAACTGGTGTTTCGATGTCCCTAATTTTGTTTACACTAGGTCAATTGTCAGGGCATGTGAGATCATTCGGCAAATTTTCTTTGAAATAAAATGATGCATTTGTGTATCAATTTGAAAGTTTATTGATTTTTTTAAAATAAGGTCATGTTTGGACAACACACATCCAAATAAGGTCATGTTTGGACAACACACATCCAAATAAGGTCATGTTTGGACAACACACATCCAAATAAGGTCATGTTTGGACAACGCACATCCGAATAAGGTTATGTTTGGCGATAATTCTCACTTCTGTGATAACTCTACAAATTTTTCTTATTCATTTATTTTTGCAACGGTTTTTCCCCTCATTTTAAGATAACTTACTACAAACTACTGTACATTTTCAGGTATCCCGTGTCTTGTTGTGCTAGGACCAGATCTAGAGATTGTGAACCCCAACGCCAGGAACAGGGTCTCCAATGATCTGGAAGCTGCCGAGTTCCCCTGGGGGGCTAAGGTTAGGAGAATTACAATTCAGTTGTTAAATCTTAAGAAGTTAATTTTTACGTAATACAGTGAACATCAAGTCTCTCAACATCTGATGTGTGCTTCACGGCGCTGTACTGACTGTATTAACTTGTTGTGGTTAGAATATAATCTACACTGTCCTTTATTAAGCAAGCTTTTATTCGTGTCCAGCCATATTTTTGCAAACATGCGTACTAAACATGCATTACCTAACTGATAACAATGCATTACCTCACTGATAACGATAAATTCTTTAAAACAATGTCTAAATTTGAAATCAAGTCATACAATCCTAAGTATTAAGTCATATGTAGGTAATTAAGTCAACTGAAGGTTGATTTAGTAGGTAATCAAGTTTCAGATTAATAGTCACGATTGATAGCACTACATAACTTATATAATATTATATTATATAAAGAGAATATTGAGAGCTCCCAGGATCGTGAATCATTTTGGCGTCAGAGTATTTTAAGTAAAATACTCACGATCCTGGGAGTTACCTACTGGCTCTCGTTATTCTACAGTCAATACATGAGGCTCCAGCATTTGCAGCCTGTATGACAAAGCAATAAAACATGACGTGCTGCAAAGCTGTAATGTACACGTTTACACAAACATGCCGGTACATGTCGTGAATTAGATACGCTTCCGGACTAATTGTTGTGCTATTTCTCAATAATTAACACATCTCATAATTACTACATTCTCGCCTAAAATTCTTACATTCTCGCTTCCCAATTTAAAGTTTTAGTCGCGGTTCGATAATTGGGTTTAATTGAAGCGTAATTAGTAGGAACCCAGTTTGGTAGTAACCGTTATATAATTAAAGTTTTGAAGAGTTAGCACAATAATTTGCTGGTTGTCGGATGCCCGGACGGACGGACATGGTATAATAATCTACCAGAGCCTCCCCGAGTTTAATGACATTAAACCGGTGTAAGACGGATTGCGACCTGGAGTCACGCACACGTAGATAGCATCATTATCTGCTTGACTGTGATGACATATTGTCTATATTTTTGACTTGTCAAGTATTAATCTGATAAGTCGTGTTATTGAGTCTCATTTGTATTGATATAAATAAAACTGTATCAAAGATAGTTTATAAATTTTATTCAAGCATTAAATTCATTACGTTAATCGTCTACAAAGGGGTTTCGCTTAAATATTATTTATATTAAATAATAACATATTATGTAAAGTATAAATTTTCCTCAATCGACAATCGTTCAATGAAAGTTGTTCACTTTTCCAAACCCTGATTTTTAATAAAATATTACCTTACAGCCCTTAATAAACCTGGATGAGGACCCGTCCAACATCAACGACTACGTGTCTGTTCTCTTTGTAAAGGGAGAATGTATGGACGAAGGAGCTGCTAAGGCCATGATGGATAAACTGTCCGCTTCTGGACAGGAATATATAAACAAAGCTAAGATAAGCAAGGAGGACCCAGAGTTTATGTTCTTCTTTTCAAACAGTGCGGTAAGTATTTAGGTTTATAGTGTTGTAGTAGTAGTAATGTCAGTTGTCCCCCGACTAAATTGTATTCCTCGGAAGCGTTCTGCTCTTGCTTTAAGGTTTTTACAGCATCGACCAATAACATGTCACGTTGTGGTCTTGCTGCATTTTCCATTTGGCCACCACGAATTTACCCGGAGAATAGCTGAGACGCTGTTATGGTGAGACTTAGCGGCATACTCGGTAGATAATAGCCCATTACAACATTTACCTTGGTATGTTGTGTAACGAACAAGGAAATACCGATTAGTTTGTTCAACACTACCTCCTACTTAGCCTACCTAATATAATGTACACTCATTGTAAACTTAGCCTACGTAATATAATGTACACTCATTGTACATTTTTCCTGGGTATAGTATACAATCGAGATCGTCTGACACATTTTTGTGCACATAATTTATGAATACAAGTTACACACAATTCGGGGTACAAATATATAGTACACTCATACATTTTACATTGTATATCCTTGTTATATTTTTAAATGCTTATAATCCTAACTTAGGAACAATACATATGCAGCAGGCCGTGCAGTAAACTGAGTAACTGGGTATTCATGGCGATAGTAATCACTGTTGTGATTGTATTGTGGCTATAAGCCACTCCAAATTGCATGTTGGTTATTTAGTACGGAGATGAAGTTCTCCTTCCGAACTATTAAAAGGCCTTCAAGTTATTGCTATAATATGACAACGTTACACAGTAATAGTTGCGAATAGTTTCCAGTGGTTTCCTAATGATTCTATACCTCTGATTTAATCCAGATGTTTCCATTTGACCCTTCAAAATCTAATCAGAACCCCCAATATTCTCGAACCTTCTAAATACCCCTTTAATTAATGACTAATGATATTTGAATATGATATGCTGTGTGACTTATATCACATCAAGAGGCTTGGTAAGGGTAATATAGCTAATATTCTACTTATACACTTATAATAATATATATAATAATATATAGAGGGCCTACTCATTATCATAATTGGTCAACTGTTGAAGGAGTTGTCGTGTATAACAATGCAGTAGCAAGCAGTTGATAATTGACTACAAGCATTAGTCACAGGGAAGGGACCTGCTTAGAGGGTACACCTCGAGCCTGGTATTTATATTATCGTATTCTACACTGCAATAACTATTATTAACCTATAAATATACTATATTGTAGTGTGCATCTAAGCTTATAGAATAAGGAGGTGTATTCTTTAAAGCTACCCGCGGTGCAACAAAGAAAATCGACTGTTAATATGTAAGTAATACTAATGAGAGTTTTTTTAATCAATTTTCCGACTGAAAACCCAATCATTTGCCCCCATTTTGTATCATTTTCTCAGGTGCCAATCACGCGTCATATCGGCAATGGAGTGTAACTCTGTAATTAGCACAAATTGATATTTAATTAAAAGTGTGTAATAATTAGAGTGATTAGTTAGAGCATCACACCACGGTGCTGAGTAAATATGTACAGTATTGCAGCAGTTGTCGATTATCGCAAAACATGTACACAGATCAGATGCTGCATGCTCATTGCTCAATTTACCCACCTTCACATAGCTTCCGTAAAGGGACATTTACCACATTCTTGACACAATTCCCGCCATTCCGCGGATGATAGGTTTAATTGTTACAGTTTTTAAGCAAAACATCTCATTAACTGCCTCGAGCTATATTTGACAGTTTAAATCAAATTAGGCACATATTATCCCCGCCATTTATACACATTTAATTAACAGTGCATTATATGATAATTGATAGAGCTTTGTATTGAATTATATCAGATGCCATCGTGGAGTAGATGGTCTCCTGCACCTTTTCCCCCTCGACATAATAGAAAAAACCTAGTCATATGAGAGCTTAGATTGCTAAATTGTTTTAATCATAATTGATTCTAACAAGCTCTGTCATTTGTAGTAGAATATGATCACTTGTTTGATAAAAGCCGAAGATAATGAACTTTTAAAAGGTAGTATGTACCACATTCTATGTATGTGGTATAGTATGTTTAAGCCATGCTCATAATTATACACCTTGCGACCTTCCAAAGTTCCGTACCTCTTTACTGGATGGCGCATCGTTTGATACTTATAACAAATTTGACATCGACTTTGTATATTAGAAGCGCGTAGAGCGTGCGCGTATTCATCTTTAAAAAGTTAATATGTAGCCGGCCTGTGATCTTACGACCACATGTCATCATGGGCTTCATTAAATGACGTAAATTAAATCACACTCTACTACCCACTTAAATCATTAAGTGGAATTACTTTGTCAATTAATATCCTATCTCTCAGAGCGGTAAAGTAACATCCAGCGTGATTGATGCGATGGAGGGAGCTGCTCAAGCCGACCGGCCGGTTCTGGTAGTTTTGGATATCCCCGAGGGAGGAAAATACAGCGTCGTGGAGACCGACAACCCCACCCCAGATATGATCGATACAGTGCTGGAGGACTACAAGGCTGGGAAACTAACCATGAAGCAACTTAACTAGGTTGCTTATATGTATTTAAAGAGTCATTTAGAGGACCACAATTGTTTTATCCATTAATATTTATGTGTGCGAGTTATGGACGATTCTTTTCTTATTTCCATGTTTATTTTGCTTTCACTGAACGATTGAAAAGGAATGCTTTGATTTTGACGTTTTTGAGCAAAAACATATTTGCTATGATTTACTTATTAGTTGCAGGTTAGCGCTATTATTATTGTAATTTCCGTGTACACTGTATATAGAATTAATAATTTCATCTGTTTAAATAAAAATGAATTCGTTAATGAAACACAAGTATAATCAAGTTTAACTAGCAAAGTCAGTCTAAGAAGAAACAAGAGGCTTTCTATTCTCAGTTAAACATTTTTTCACAAAGACTATCCACACTAAAAACAATGTCTGATGCAAGAATCCCTGACGTTTCCAGTCTTTACTTTTCTTCTTGCAATTCTCCCATTACTTGTATTTCAAGTTAACTGACTGGTTAGCGATGGTTCGGTTTGGGTCGCGGTAGCTTTGTTCAGTAATATTCTGCCCATGGATTGTTCTCTAAGAAGTGTTCTATTACCTCCCTCATAGCAAGATTGGGGGTTAGTTTTTCTCTCTTCAGGGGGACTCTAGTTAGGGGGTCGAAATGTCCGACCCTTTGTAGGTGTTCCTCTAAATCACTCCTGTAAAAACATGTTCAGTGTAGGCTCATTATTATAACAAGATATCAATAACCCAACACAATCAGAAATGGTTATCATACAATTGTGTCAGCAATATCAACACATTGATCTAAGCAAAAGTTTTACCTTCAAAGGTAATTTACTCTTCAATAATTACAAATATCTACGTCTCTAAACCGGCGAAAAACAAGTAAAAGTTGTACCTTTCATAAGTTACACCGGACGGTGTTATGACTGGCTCCTTCATAATCTCAAAACTTATTTTTCCACACAGATAATCTGGCACTTCCCGTCTCTGATAAAACATTTTGTTATTTAGATATTAAAATACTAGCACTCTAACGCTCATCCAGATATCATGGGGATATTTATAATAGTGTGGCACATGTTTCTTTACACTAATTTTATTCATCGGCCCCTTCGTATTTAAGAAAACAGTTTCTAAGACATTTCTTAAGGGAAAAATCTAACATCTGGAAACTAATCTGAATCCACATTCTACAGTAATAGTAGTAGTCTAGGATTAATTATAAAACAGGTACATTGATGACATTATAGCAGGTGGATGAAGAAGGAGGGGCCCAGAGTAGTTCGACTTTTAAGTATCAAGATAAAGATATAAATACAGGGTGGGCCAAAAGTCAGTACCCATACGTTGGGTCTTATACCTCCGCCGTGTTTTATATTTGAGAGTTGTTGCTTTGCAGATGGCATACTGTACCTACTTGTTCGAGGATTACGTCGCCAATATTTGAAAATTCGAATATTTTATACCACGCCCACTTCAATATTAAAACACTTATATTGTTCTCTCTGAACATGCTGGACGCCTAATTTTTTTCAGAGACGGTAGATTATTAAATGTTGCATCATGTCTGAAAAATGATGTGAAACGGACTAGAAATGACGAAGTTATCAAGCATTTTGTGTATCTCGTTAGCAAAATTGATTGGGTGATTATGTGACACCGTGACACGACACCTTAATTGGACAGCCTTAACGATTTCCATAATGTTTAACGGGGTAGTTAACGGGGTCACCCAAGCCAATCGCCTGATCACACGTAATGAATAAACTCGTTATGCTTCGTATCTCGGTCATCTGAGAAGCTACAACTCTAATGTTTTCAGAATAAACGTAATTTGAATGGCTAAACACAATTCAATAAAATTTGGCTCGATCCGACTAACTAACAAATAAATGCGAAAATGAACCTTCAATTGAAAAAAATGAACACGAATATTTTTCAAGTTGACAAATTCCTCGAACCAGTGGTGGTACTAAGTCATACCAGAAAGAATTATTTCAATTGGGCACTCAATGACTGAGCTATAAAGGCCAACGTAGGGGTACTGACTTTTGGCCCACCCTGGACATTTCGTTGTTGGGACAATTTCTGATTGTGTGCTCAATCATCACATGGCTTTAAAGGTGTAACGACCAGCACCGCAGTTTGCAGCCATCATTATAATCACTTTAGACTTAATTTATTGGTGGCATGGTTACGGAAGATATTACTGACTTCCGGATAGGTACAAAACGACCACAACTATTACATTTATATATTAGCTGTGAAGGAACATACATATATTTGGATTTGGGTTAGGACGATCTTAAAGACTTCTATCTTATTTCATACACGATTGATCACGTGCTCGATGACCTCAAACTGGGTAAAATAGAGTCTGTCATATAACATATTGTATACTTCTGGTTCACTGCACCGGACTCTGTTGCCAACATGAGCTATATGAAGCTATATATAATAGTAGGCAACAATATTGAAATATTCATCTACATTAAATCTGAAAAGTTGATAGATATTTTAGAATTTAGAATTGAAGCTTTTTATTGCAGCCCTGTCAACCTAATTATAAACAAGCAATTTAATATTAGTGTTTCCCTAAGTAAGTGTTTCTACGGAGTAAACAATAATCTAAATGATTAAATAACATCTTACCCTTCTCCGGTCGTCGAGCTCCGAGAACAAGTAGTTCAGTGTATCAATGTACTTCGTCTGCAATATAGGATAAGGTTACATTTTAAGTGATCCCAGGATAACGCTAAATTCAACTAGATGATGTAGAGATATAGAGTGTATGAAAAGAATTTCGCTGTGTTCACGTAGACACATTTCACATTTGACAGATAATTTAAAACCCCACTGCACCTTCTGATTAAACTATAAAAGTAATCAGAAAATTACAGTGCTTTTTTAGACTGAGTGTGGTAATATGATGCAAAAGTTGTGGCCTTTAATTCAATCGAGGGATCAATATCTCTAATTTAATAAATTCTACACGTAAACAAACAATGCCGTCAATCTCTAGAAAATGTCCTATGCGCGTTCCTGTAAGTTAAAATGTGGATGTAAACCAGTAGATGTTTCTTCTCAAAATTGTACGTATATTATAGAAATGTCGCCCCCGTTCGGATCCAAATAGCGCAGAAGTTAGGTCCGTGCGCGAAAAGTGATCGATAAGTTATACTGTTGGGAGATGACTTGTTCACACAAAGACATGTCAAATGGTAAACGAAGTTATCAGGAAATATCTGCAAACCAAATAACAGCTGAAGTCAAATGATAACACATATCGTAGTCACCGCGACCGACATGGATCAAATCAAAGAATGATAAGAAATTATTCCACATAATTTCGTACAATTTGTGCCCAGATAAATCACATACTTAAACCCATCAATTTTACTTTCAATAGTTCATATAAATAAACTCCAAAGGAATCAAGTATTTGACGAGTAACTCACATATTTTGCTTCCAAGTCCTCATGGTGCTTGTCTATTTCAACTACTTCGTCATCTGATGGTTCTTGATTCTTCTTTCTAAATTGAACGAATAATTAACTTCTTGAATCAAAACAAACAATAACTATTGTTCACACTATTTCTGATTTATTGTGCAGTTCGTAAATAACACGTTTACTTGCCGAAGATGTAAGAGATATATTATCTATTATTTGACATGAAATCTTTGGGCGTTTTATATGTAAGAGCTTAGCAGATGCATCTCGACAATTTACATGTTCAAACATGTACAGGGTGGGCCAAAAGTCAGTACCCATACGTCGGCCTTAATAGCTCCGCCGTGTTTTATATTTGAGAGCTGTTGCTTTGCAGATGGCATACTGTACTTACTGGTTCGAGGATTCCGTCGTCAAAATTTGAAAATTCGAATATTTTAGACCACGTCCATTCAATATTAAAACACCTATATTGTTTTCTCTGAACATGCATAACACCTAATTTTTTTAGAGACGGTAGATTATCAAATGTTGCATATGATCTGAAAACATGAGGCAAAACGGATTAGAAATGACGAAGTTATCAAGCATTTTCTGTATCTCATTAACAAAATTGACTGGGTGATTATGTGACACCGTGACACGACACCTTAATTGGGCACCCTTAACAATTCCCATAATGTTTAGCGGGGTAGTTAACGGGGTCACCTTATCACGTGATTAGGTAAACCAATCAACTGATCACACGAAATGAATAAGCTCGTTATGCTTCATATCTCGGTCATCTGAGAAGCTACAGTTCTAATTCTTTCAGGACAAACGTAATTCGAATGGCCAAACACAATTCAATAACATTTAGCTTGATCCGACTATCCAAACTATCAAATAAATGTGAAAATGAACCTCCATTTGAAAAAAATGAACGCGAATATTTTTCGAGTTGACAAATTCCTCGAACCAGTGGTAGTACTAAGTCATACCAGAAGGAAGTATTTAAATTGGGCACTCAGTGACTGAGCTATAAAGGCCAACGTATGGGTACTGACTTTTGGCCCACCCTGTACTATTCGGTCTTATTTGACAACTTATTGACTTAGTAAGGTCGTCAAGTGTTGAAATAACCCACCACTTTTACTTATATTATTTGGTTATTGGCGAATAGTTTAAATACTTTTCAAGGTCGTCTATCAGAAGTTTAGTTAATAGCGTCTGTAATTCAATTTCTTCTGACATTCGTTTTTCCTCTTCCTTGAGAAGCTTCTTTTTCTTCGTCTGCGAGGTTGATTTTTTAATAGCAAATGGAAATACTGTCTAACATTACGACATAGATTAAATACTGTGTAACATTACAAGATAGATTAAATACTGTCTAACATTACGACATAGATTAAATACTGTGTAACATTACAAGATAGATTAAATACTGTGTAACATTACAAGATAGATTTAATTGGCAACAATTCACTTAATTTGTTAAGTCAAAGTTAAATTGCACCAAGAAAGACATAAAATCTCTTATTCATGCCCCAAGATAAATATGGGGGTGTCCAACCCAAAAACCCAACCCCAAAATGGGATTTTGAGGTAAAATTGGGTTAAAAAAGAGATGTTAGAATTGATATTTTTTACACCTACATTCATTTATTATGTATTATTAAGACCAAGTTATATGTTATCCTCCATCATCCCCATTATCAATAACTAGCAGGAACCCGTCTAATCCTAAAATGGTGTCAAGACTCGAGAGACTAAAATAATTATTACCTATTTAATTCGCGTTTTTGACACCACTTGGGGGTCCAAATTTTGGGCACTAAAATTCTTATTCCTTGGCCTATTTTTTATTTTTTCATGCTGATTTGAAGGCCATTAAGGCATTTGACCCAGTCAAAAAAGTTTCAGTTTTATATCTTTTACGGTTTTGCGGAACGTCGTGTTAAAGTTGATGCCGTGGTGTCAGTAAATGGTACGGATATATATATATATTTCGTTGCTGTACTCCTACACATTAAAAGTCGATGTTGATTAGATCTTCGAAATTCTTTGCATCATTTATTAAACATCGTTATCTCAAATTATTTGTTATATAGTAGTGTTGAAAGTATTAAAAATATCGTCTCGCTTTATATATAGTAAGATGATGTGTGTCATGTGCAATATTCATTATGTATTTTTTAAATGTCAATTAAAGTACGTTTTGGATCTAATATTTTGTACTATCTTATTCATAAATTGAGTATGTATTCCTTGGAGTATATTGTAAAGCAAGTGTTTGTTTAAACTTTCTGCTCAGATGAGGGACTAGGGAGGAAGCTTTTTCGAGGAGAGCCACTCCTCGTGGAGCGACATGGGCATTGGGCACCGTATTGTTTAGATTATTTCAAGTTATATTTTATTCAATATCTTTGTCGCATACAAATTACAAGCGGGGTAGTAAGTATTGTGTTTCCTTAATAATCGGATAAAAAGTTACAAAAAACAGGGAAAAAATGGAAATTTTAGGTAAAATGTGTTTTTTGGGTTGGACACCCCCGAAAATATAAAATCTTTTCTACTCCCACCCCCCCCCCCCCCCCCCCTCGCTTACCCTCCTAAGGGCTTGGTGAAGATCGTCTCCAAAGTGTTCTTTTCTCGATTTGGCACTTTCTATCGCTGAAATTCAAAACTAGTTAGTAGTTAATGATTAGAAGCCTCTCGTAAGGGGAGTATCCTCAGTTAACTGACTAATTGGTCACTGGGCAAAAAGTCCGTCAAATCTGTCAAATTTGTATTCAGAAATTTTCACATATGAAAATGGGACAGAATTTGGAAAATATGAAATTGTGAAATTTCGGTCGTTCATTAAAAAGTAACCTGTATGATACGAAGAGATAGCTTCGTCGAATTTCCCAAGTTCTGTTAAAGCTTGGCCCATAAAGAAATGAGCTTTTGTCATCATCTTGTCAATCTCAAGTGCCAGCTTGCAGTCCCTTAGTACACGATCCCAAAGCTCCAGTTTAAGGTAGCAAAGTGCACGATTAGTATAGATTGTGGTCACTTTGTCGTTCTTTAGCTGAAATTATTAGTACTTAATACAAAGAGCATAAGTTCTAATATTGTATGAAATATGTAATATGCAAACATGGCAACAGTAAAAAGCATTGAGTAAGTAATACTTGGCACTGATCTTCCTGTTTTCACTAATCACTATATCAGTCATGGCTTATGATAGAATGGGACATTTGGTTTTCTGAGGAAAGCAATTCGATGCGAACATTGTTCAATACTTATTATTATTATTGAATAGTTTCAAGCTTGCACAATGATTTGCACTGGTCTAGAGGAAATTGAATGCAAGCCTAGTGGACATAACGACAACTTGATAATCAGTAATCGTGAATTATTGTGATATAAACATGATTTTTTCTGCGGAATTTTCTTTTCTAGCAAATGACAGTGCCATGCCATGCATGAATCTGGTCTAAAACGGAACTATTAATATTTCTTGCATATTCAGGATATTAAGAATACTTTATAGCAATGAAAGCGTACAATGAAAGTGTACAACTTACAATTAAACTTGAATAAAACTTACAAGAGCTTTGGTGTAGCAAGATATAGCTTCTTCATAACTACGTTGAGAAAAGAATTTGTTTCCCTGCTGTTTCAGCTCCAGTACCTCGTGTCCAATATTCATGTTGCTAAATATATCAAAAATAGTAATTAAATATCAACCATGCATTAAATAATCTTTAAATAAATATTATTATAAGGATACTGATCATTGCAACCAAAGCTTGAAAGCTGTTTGAGATCAAGACATGAAAACTAATAAATATAATCAATAAATTCTAACATTTATTACACGGCATTTTTAAAACATTCTTCAGTTGATAATGTTCTCACTGAGCAGTGGGAACTAAGAGCCTGGAGCGTTATAGGTGTAGCCAAAAAATTAACAATCTACATGTTATAGTGTCACAAAATCGGCAATAAGTTTAGTTTCGTTGTTATAAAATTCAAAAGTACTGCATAATCCATTGAGAAATCCTTTTGGACATTTAATGCATCCAGATTAAGAAGATTAAGGACAGCGCGTGATAGTTCATTGTCGGTCACATGTGTTGATATCTGAGTTTAGCTTCCTCATTAAAGTTAATAATAATGTCGTATATCTTAACTTACGAGGGTTACTTAATACTTTGTATAGTTTACCAGAGTGACTGATAATGATTCAATCAACCAAAGAATAGTGTTGCTTTGTTTAACGCCCTTCCATCCCTGTCATACTATATATTGCTTGTTTTCCATAGGATGTTATATTTTCCAAGCCTTCTCAGTGGTACATTTTACTTTGTCCCTTTTTCATACCCTACGTCTCCCCCTTCAGATTGGGAATGATGTCCAAACGCGACAATTTTTCAATCCCAAAATTATCATTTTCAGATGTGAGTTTCTAAGAAAAAGGAACTTATAATTTTATGCCCAGAGTTAGACAATTAACATAATTAAACAATCACAACATGACAGCAAAACGACTCATGAATTATGTCCATATATTAATTATAGAAAACCCATAATTGTGTAGAGTGGACCGTGGCCGTAAAACTGAGAACTTCTATTAAGATAACTAGCAGGAACCCGTCTAGCCCTAAAGTGGTGTCAAGAGAGGACAATATTTATTTATTATGCGATTGTGAAACTTCCAAGTTCTTATACCTTGGCCAATTTGTAAAGGTACTGAAGGGTACCTTTAAAATATTCCAGTTTGTGGTAGGGTTCCTCTACATCCAACAGGAAACATGGAATGAGTGATGGATGAGTCGAGGGCAGTGGCGTAAAGAAGGGCCCCGCTGACCCTGCTGTGCAGGGGGGCGCCGTCTTAGGGGGGCGCCAAATCGTTGTTTGAATGTGGGACAATTTCGTAAACTTAACTAAAGTACTAGCAAAACTGCGCGTTTTGCTCTAGATACACACTTTTTTAGAGATTTTACCAGCGTATCCTCTAAAATCACCTAATTTGTTCAATTTTAGGGAGGGGCACCATAAAGGGAGGGGGCGCCAACAGGGGAGCGCCTTTTGGGCGGGGGGGGGGGGGTCGGGCGCCAACAGGCAACGTTACGCCACTGGATGAGGGGCTTTAAGTCAGGCAGTCCTGACATTTACTTAAAATCACGTTAAGAAGATAGCAGTAACTAATCTATATCATTTACAGTACTCTATATGTGTACTGAAGGGTACCTATACAATATTCCAGTTTGTGGTAGGGTACCTCCACATCCAACAGGCAACACGGAATGAGTGATGGATGAGGGGGCTCAAGTCAGGTGTTCCTGTCAAAAGATCTGTAATTAATCTTGTAAGGGTACCACACAGTAGACATTACATTGTTGATTATGAACCGAAAGTTTATTTATACCCACAATCAATAAATTACAAATCCAAATATTCATATATAAGTAATGCAATACTAAATCGGTGAAATTGCATTTACGAAAGGTATTCTGCAAAGTAAAGGTATCTCGACAATATAACATTGAAGTATTAGAAATGGAACTTTATTATACAGCACTTTACAGCACTTTACAGTAGTGTAATAAACAATATTGAAACGAAATGAGGTATTTATATCCCGCTCACATGATTAACCGACAACACATGGAAGGTGGTTAACCATGTCATAGCGGCTGACTGTGAGTGATGTGAGCAAATGTGTAAAAATGGACAAGAATATAACTCAATATAAGAGGCTAGGACAAAATTAAAATAATATTAAACCAAATTAATTGAAATTAAACCAGAGAGGGCAAGAACTTGAGAAAAGGACGATACACTAACCGTACAAAAACTTAAATGACTTCCAGAGAAGTGTTAATGAAAATTTTACGGTAGCGCTCGATTTCTTTCATAAATTTCTCTTATAAATTTTCAAAGCAAAAAAAATATTTTTTCTTCCGTTTTCAAATTTTTTTAAACGTAACAAAACTATCAAATAGTATTATTGAAAAGTAGTTCAGCACTTTTTTTTTGGGACAAAAATCTTTTTCATGGGAGGTTCTTTGAAATTTTTACCGGGTTACTTCTTGTGTATGCTTATTATATTAATATAACTTACTGCGGCATATTAAAAACCAAAATATCTAATTTTTTACTTTTAGTTTAATTGACGATGTCAATTCATCGCAGCTCGGCGAGGCCCAGTAGCGTATTTTGCCGATCTAGTGGTTGCGAGAAGCATAATTGAGTGCGCGGCGCGGCCCAGTAACGCATCGCGCTACAAACTTTAAGTTAATTTAATTTTACAAAGCAGATACGCCATTTTAATTTGATCTGACTCGTTTAAATTTCTTTGAAGTAGCGCGCCGCTTTCTTTAAGTGCTACGAAACAGTGCGCGGCCGGGCTAGTACATTAACAATGTACAACATTTTAATGCATGCAGCATATATTTGATTGACGTTGTCAACCCTTCCAGATCGTTGCTCTTGCGCGGCGCGTCGAAGCGGCAAAATTCTCCAATTCATATGTTCTCCGCGCGCAGAGCAGTAATAGTCTCGTCGCTTTGTTATCCTCCGCATACTTTTGCACGATTTGACGATTGCATGCATTGATTGAATTATACTTTCAAATGCGCTGCGCCAAGCATATAATTTGAATTCTATGGTTCTAATGGCAATTGATTTGAATAAGAAGCGATTTCCGGGATCTTAATCATGTGTTATATATATTATGTATGAGTATTGCTGAAAGCACAGTGTAAGGCCTACACGGACCGCCTCTAACTAGCCAATCCCTGTTTACATGCCGTGTAGCAGGGGACTAGAAAGAGCTAAACTAGTAATATAAGCGGGGCATAGCCAATAAACTATACTCCCATCATTGAGTATATTACCAACCAAAAGGAAAATTTCCTTGTGTTTGGAATCTACCAAGACGAAAGTTGTACAATCCAGCGATTGTCTAAGAAGATCAGGGAGTGGGTTATTCCGTGTACGGAGCTCAACCAGCCTGGTAATATGTACCTGAATCCCTAGGCCCACAAGCCACCTTTGTACCCTGGGAGGATGATTACTACTGGATGTGGTTCATACATTGAGAACCTATCTGCCTTGACTGCATACGAATTGAAGAAGGCTATTTTAGATTATAGAATTATTGACACCCCTCATTTTCTGAGGAAGATTGATAGCTTGAATGAGTCCACCATATTGTTGGGTAAGGAGGTGATACATGTTGCCATAGATATATCCAACATGTTCACCAATATCCCCAGGGATATGGGGATCCAACAATGCACCAAGCACCTGAATGAAAGAAGTAGTTATGATCAATTGTTCAGTACAGAATGCATTATTAGTGCTCTAGAAATCACTCTTGATTACAACATAGCTTCGTTCAACGGTAACATACCGTCAGGAGCGTGGAGCGGCGATGGGTCCTAAGAATGGGTCCTAAGAACTCATGTGAGTATGCAGATTGTGCTATGGATAAGATCGATATTTTAGTTAATGAAAGAGATTTAGAACATGGCCCCCACACAGACCAGCATTCTGGGGTAGGTTGCGTGACGATATATACATGGCATGGCCTGGTACTGTTGAGGAGCTTCTACAATTTATGGAATGGCTCAATAGTATCCATCCGGACCTTGTGTTTACTTACGACTACTCTAAGGATGGTGTTGAGTTTTTAGACACCTATGTCTATGCTGTTGGCGATGTTATTCATACCAAACTTTACTCCTGATTATGGTCCAGACTTGTTCAGACCAAGCAGATCAGGTCTTAATCTGGTTTCATCCAATAGATGTAGTAAAAGTGCGACAAACGTCAAGAATATCCAGAAGTCTTTTCTCCCGGAGCGAGTTATTCCATATTGGAACAAACTCCCTCCGGACGTCAAGAACTCTGTGACAGTTTTAGGTTTTAAAATTAAATTAGAAGGATATAAGATAGATATGATTTCTAAAAGTATTACAAATGATTGCTTTTTTGGAATGTTTCTAATGAAGTTTTAGTAAGAATTGAGGGAGCCAGTTATGTCAGTAACAAAGAGAAACATAACAATTATCTTTGGTTCCATCCTTATGTGGCAAAGAAGCGTTTTATAAATCTTTATTCCACTGGGAAGTGTTTAAAATAGGATAATGTTTTTGATGAAATTGTTTTTAAATATTGTATTTGATAATTAATTAATGTTGGTGGGGAAATATTTATTATATATTTTTTCGCACAGTGCGATGATAGTTTGTAGACATGTGTGATGATGTGATGTCATAAATTTTACTTTACTTTACTTTTACTTTTACTCTAAGCCCAGTGATACCCACTGCTATCTCATCCCCACCTCATGTCATAGGAGCCATGTTCTCAAAAACATACCCTATGGTGTGGCGAGGCGAGTGAGGCAGAACAATAGTGAAGACACTAATTTCTTAGAGCAAAGGGAGGTATATACTGGTTACCTTGTAGCCCGTGGTTACCATTCTAGTATTGTAGACGATGCTTTCAACAAATTTAATGATATAACCAATAGGAAAAACTTGTATGCCCCTAAAAATAAGGATGAGACGACTACTTGTCTAATACCTATGGTGATGGATCAAAATCCAGCACTTCCCAACATGGGGAGCATTATTCACAAGTATAAGCACCTTCTTAATCTCGATCCAGCCTTGAAGAAGCTAGTACGTGCTGACAGTGTATTTGTAAGTCACCGAAAGAATCAAACTATCGGTGGCATGCTTGTACACAATAAGTATCGTGCTAGTGGAACTGTAAGCAGTGATAGAGATGGAGGAACCACTGCCAGTCAATTTCTTGAACCAGACGCTGCAATATGAATTCTTCTAAGACTGAAGTCATCGTTATATCCTCTAAATTTGACTCAACAAATATTCCAGCCTCTCTACAGATTGTTAAGGATCAAGAGCCACATGTTGTTAGTGGAACTGTGAAGAGTCTTGGGCTGTATTTGGACAGTTATCTTTCAATGAGTGATCAGATTACGTCAGTGGTTCAAGCATGTAATATTCAGATCAGACATTTGTGGTTTATTGCATCAAAACTGTCTTTTAACCTTAAGATTCAGCTTGTTCATGCTCTAGTACTCTCTAGAATTGATTATTGCAATAGCGTATATTTTGGACTGAGCTCTTATGATTTAAGTCGTTTACAGAAGGTGCTTATATTCTGCCTTGTAAACAAAGAGCAAATCTTCTTAATGCCTTCTTCCTGTCCTAAAACTAAAACTTCATCCTATTAAAGTAAAGGCCAGTTGTTACCACAAGCTATTATACCGTCCCTCTCAAAAACATGCCTCAGCCTCCATCAAAAACAATTTTAGTTTTCAGTCCTTCTAGTTTCCAAAAATCTACCGAGCTAGTGTTCTGGTGTGCACAAAAGCCCCTAAGCCCGTGCATTCCTTGCCCCCGCTAGCTGCCAGTCCTTGACAAACTTCCAATAGCAAAGATCAACTAGTCATTTACAAATTGAGCACTATACAATTTTAATTGTTTTAAATATTTGACTTTGTAAAATGAGCTAAAACATTGATTTATTAGTTTCATTGATTTATTAGTTTCATTGCAAAATTCTGCTGTAAGATTTATTTTCGGGAGAGGAAGAAAGGCACACACTACTCCACTACTTAAGAAAGTTCATTTTCTACCAGTTAGATTTAGAATAGATTTTAAGATTGCCCTACTTGCCTACAAGTGTTTAAATAATATAGCTCCTCCTTACTTAAAAGAGTTGATATCTCCTAGGCAGCAAAGTTTTAAAAATGTACGTCTTGATAATGATTATTTTTACCTTAGTTTTCCGCCCTCTCCTAACTATGTAAACACAGAGAAAGCTTTTAGTCACTGTGCAGTTAAAGTATTTAATTCCTTGCCATACGACATAAGATCAGCTGAGTCAGTTACATCTTTCAAGACCAAACTTAAAACATACTTCTTTTCTCTAGCATTTGATTGATTTTGCATTTACATAGGTAAAATGAACTTGTCATGTCTAATTTTCAATTAAACTAAGCTCAGTTAATGTAAGAGCAGCTTTAGAAAGCACTGGAGTTTATCTCCAGGATTAAATTATATCGAGTTATATGATTTAGCTATAAGGCGGTTTATAAATGTTGTATTTATTTATTTATTATTATATTGCCGGCTGTTCGGGAGGCTGACAACGCAGGGTGCCATGCCTGTGGAAAATGCTATGTTTGTAAGCAAAGTTTCCTGTCCCCTTGTTCCAAATTTAGTAGTCACCATTCCAAACAAGTTTTCCCTATTACTAAATATATAACGTGTCAGAGTAATAACCTTATTTATTTAATGGAGTGTAGAACTTGTAAACAGTCGTATGTAGGATATACTACTTCTAATCTCCCTAAGAGATTTTCTAATCATAAGAGCCACATTAAGAAAGGTATCAGGAGTTGTAAGTTAGTAAATCACTTTTTAGATATTGATCATGATTTAGATTTTAGTTCAGTAGCCTTATATAACTCTTCACTTAGTACGCACCTTTCTGTAATTATAGTGGACGCTCTAGAATTTAAACCTGAAATAAGTAAAGCAGATAGGGAAAAGGCCATGGAAGCTAGAGAGGGGTTCTACCAGACCCAATTGAAAACCCTTGAGCGTTATGGGGGTATGAACACCCTCGATAGTAACCACATCCTTTTTAAATCCGCTGGAGCTTAGTGTTTAGTTTATTTATTTTATTTAACATGATCTTAGCCTATAAACCCGTGTTTAGTTTACAATATTGCTATCAGAGACGTGTTATATTCATCACTATTTTAATATTTTTACTGCTTGATTCAGAGAAATCTAGCTTTTTCCGAGAAACTAATCTTTAATAGATTAGATAAAATGTACTCAGCCATTCTTTTTGTTTGATTATTACTCAGTATTTTTTAGTTTTGTACCGTTTTGAGTCACATAGTTTTGTACGTCTTCCTAAGACTTGTTTTCCTTTCCTAGTTTGTAAGTTATTTTAAAGATTTGTGTATATTCCAGTTGCTTTTAGAACAATTTTATCTCAGATAACGATGTTTAATAAAATGATGCAAAGAACTATTTCGAAGATCTAATCAACACCGACTTTTAATGTGTAGGAGTACAGCAACGAAATATATATATATTAAGCAGTTCAAGCTTTTTTCTACTTGATCATTGATGCGCTACAGCATACAAACATTTCGTTTTGTTGTGCGTGCTTGGTGCAACAAGCGGGGGGTTTTAGAGGGGTTTTATGTTTGCTGTCCATCTTTTTTTTCTCTGTACCCATGTAGTATAATACATATGTAGTATGTACCCATATAGAGCAATAAGTGTTGTTCTTAACATCGCAAATCTTATCCTCGTTCTTTGTATTCCTAATACCTCTCCTTCCTCTTTCTGGCTATGAGGTCCGCTAATCTGTTGAAATTAATACTTCATAATAAAATTACCATGTGTCCGGATGGTGTTCATCCAAAGTTGTTGAAATCGCTAGCTTATGACAACAATATTGTTGAAGCAGTTACTAAATTATTATAAAAGTGTTCGGAAACAGGATCTTCACCTGCAGTGTGGTAATCTGCATCTGTTGTATAGTAGCATTGTTTAAAAAGGGTACTAAATTCGATCCCTTAAATTATAAACTAGTTAGGGTGTGGAAAAGAAAGATGAGCCAAGACAACATGTGAGTAGTCTCTATGTCACACTGGTCTGGTTCAGCTCCTCTAGCACATTTAAGCGTTTGGTATGGTTTGCTAAATTGACAATAGTGTAGATGTGTTCAGTGGCGTAACGTTGCCTGTTGGCGCCACCCCCCCCCCCCCCCCCCCGGCCCCTCCCCCAGCAGTTTAGCTGGTACCGTCGCGTAGTTAAGTTTTTCCAAATTGTCCCACATTCAAACGACGATTTGGTACCCCCCTAAGGTGGTGCCTCCTGCACAACGGGGTCGGCGGGACCCTTTGTTACGCCACTGAATGTGTTGATTGTCAAATATGTCACGAGTGTGCGGCCATATCGTGGCTTTCACTAAATGAAATGATGATGAGGGTCACAACGTGACACAATGTATATTGGTATGGTGAGTTAAAACATTGAACTGTGGGCATGAAGGTAACCATTCAATTATTACGGTGGCATAAGACCCAACGTATGTACACTGACTTATGGCCCCCCTCCCCCCTGGCCCCTCCCCCATGTACGATGTGCTGATGGTAAAACACGGTGGTGGCATAGGACCCAACGTATGTACACTGACTTTTGACCCCCTCCCTCTTGTAGGTTTAATTGCATTTTGATGTCAATCTCATACCTGCAAAATCAGTATGGTAAAACTAAACGTTTTCAAAATTAATGTATTTTAATTCTCATCTTACTTTCAGGAATGTTAACACCAAAATTCAGTATCGAACAAACTGAGAAGTTTGTTATTGTAACCTTACACATTCCACATGTGAAAATATCAGAGTCAGAGATATTCATTGAGGACACAGAGTTCAAGTTCTATTTGAAGCCATACTATCTTCGTCTGAATTTCAGTAATGAGATCACAGAGGATGGATCAGAGCATGCTCAATATGATGTTGAAAAGGGTGATGTTATTGTTCATATTCCAAAGAAAAATCCTGGTGAAGATTTCACTGATCTAGCCATGATAAATAAGCTTCTTGCTCCAAAAAATTCCGTTAGCAAGCCTAAGATTGAAGTAATTGGCTCCTCTAATGATCAAGCAGTCAAACCCTTACCGTCTTTTCCAGAAGATTTCACCTGGGAATGGGACCAAGAATATCCTCAAGAAGATTATAGTTCTGACTCTGTATTCTATGGCTTTTGCAACAAGTATAAAAATCATTATGCTTCATTTGTCAATGAATTTCCAGAGTTATTGGATTTGCCTATGCCTGATCAAACTCACCCATATAATAGAAAGGCACTTCTTCAACTGGATTTGTTGGGGAATTTCGATATGGAACATTACTTGTCAGACTTCTTGAATATGAACGAATTTGTGGGTGATGTAATTCATTACCAACCAAGGTACATGAGTAATCCAGATCAATTTAGTTTTGTGGATGATGAGCAGCAGCTGTTATGTCAGTTACCTCATTGCACAATTAACATTGAGAAAATAGAGATTAAAAGAGCTTTGATTGGGCTGGTGGATATTTTATTTGCTTTTGTTTTTGATCATCTGACTAATTGTGGAGAGATATCAGTGGAATCGCCATGGAATATTTGCAAGATAAGTTCTCAGCTCTCTTGGCTTCATACTCCCTCAACGTTGAAAGAGTGCTTACAACTGAACTTTTCAAGGGCGTTGACTTTTCCACTTTACAGGCATTTTGATTTTTGTTCCAGAGTCTTAGAGGACTTAAAATTTATTGTTTCGAAAGGTCGACCTCTGATTTTGAAATGTCTTCTAGGTGTTTACGATATTCTGAGAAAACATGAATATTATTATCTTCACAATAATGTTTTTGTTAAAGATTATTGTTTGTGGATACAGACTGTTGATGAAAGGCATGTTAAGAAGCTGATAGAGGCATTGAACAATTTACCAGTCATAACTAAATCTGACTTGCCGTTCCCTCTTGAAGAATTTGAAGCATTTACTGACATGACTAATTTGGAAAGTTCTGAGGATTCAGAGACGTCTTGTTCAACAGAATCTGATGAATCCACTTCAGGGAGTGAATCAGATGACTCCTCAAGTAGTGAAATAGATTTGCGGAGTATGGCTGTCAAACAGTCAGTGTGTGATGAGAATGAGGACATTAATATGTCGTGTTTGAGCGCAGCAATTGATAACATTTCTTTAGCTAAGAATTCAGATGATTTTAACAAGCCGGCCAATGTTTTAAAACCCCTAATCGAGGAACTTGATTGAGTTTTTACAGCTTTCTCAACAAATCATGATATCATTTATTGCCATTGATGTTCAAGATAATATAATTATAATATAATTATAATATAATTATAATATAATTATAATATAATTATAATATAATTATAATATAATTATAATGATGAATGATTTGATATCATGAGATCTTTTAACTTGTATATTAAGATTTTAAATCTATTTTACTTTTAGTATAACGACATATTTTAATATTTTAGCTCCAGCACAGCATACAAATATACTATGATTCGACCAATTCTAATTTATGAATCATTTTATTTAAATTATTAGGGGGGGGGGGGGGGACAATTTGGAAAAACTTTAACTACGCGACGGTACTAGCTAAACTGCTGGGGCCGGGGAGGGGGGGGGGGGGGGCCGGGGGGGGGGGGGGGGCGGCCTTGACCACATTAATTAAAGTATATTAAAATGAAGGTTTTTTTCCGATTTTGACCTGGGGATATACTTCAATATACTTTAATATACTTTAACATACTTTATACTTTAAGATATTGATACTTGACCAATTTATGGGCCAAAATATATCAAATTTGGTGTTTTAATAACGAGTTTATTAATTTAGCTTGAAAAGAAACTTGGACAATGTTTAGACTGCTAATAATTTTAGTCATTAGTGTAACAAACACAATCTCTATTATCTGGGATTTGATGCTTGGTAAGACTATTTTTCAGATATTTTAAATCACCGCTCCGTAATTATTTCAGGATGGAGTGTCAGGACAGTCCTATTCTAAATTCCGACACAGCCTGGAAGCAACTCACTCATTATCTCAGCCCACCCAACACCATCACACCAGAGATAAAATCAAGATGTAAAGAGTTAATTGAGATACTTGAGAACTTTGGTTACCCTGTAAGGAAATGCCTTGGAAGTTGGTTCAGAGTCAAGTTCAAGTATTATTTTAAATCTGAAATTCTTCCTGAGGTCTTGACGGTTCTTGATGTTTATAGAGACTATGAAGCATTTGAAAATATCATTGTATTGCTGGGAAAAGGAGTTTTGAAGTTTCTTTTGTCGTTTTATCTTGTAGAAGAGACAGATTCGACCTTCCAGAAGAAGGACGTGTACATGGATTTCACAACAATTTTGTTGGAAATTGATGAGGTAAAGAAATTATTCTCAATGTGCTGTACGAATTTCTACAAACGAGGATTTGACTGTTTTGACAATCTCGATCAAGATATTGACGGTTCACCCACGGAGCATTCTACTGAATTGAAGAACTTTGATATCATTAACCGGTATCTGTGCTGTTTGTATTTATTTGATGAAGTTGTCTACGACGCAGTTCTCCATGTTCTTAGCTCTCAGATCAGACTTTTCATAACCGAAAATTTCTCGGGTTGTTCTCATGACACGAGTATCATGGGACCTGTAATGTCATGGCTCAATTCGTCGGTCATAACATTCATTCAGTTCATTACTCAACATCAGCTTGTACCTCCTAATATGGAAATATGGAAGAAGCGTCTCAAATTTTTCTGCTACAAAACAATTGCCACTGTACGTATCAACGACCTGTTTGAAATAATGGTCGATTACCCTGATTCCCATGCAGCTGTATTGGATATCAAAAAGTGTGTAGGACATATTCAGTGTAGTAACTATCTCATAAAGACAGTTCAGGATACATTTAAAGAGCGGCTCCTGCATCCTGGAGCTAACACAGATGATATAATTACTCAGTATTCTTCAGCTATAAAAGTTTTCAGGTTCCTTGATCCGTCCGGTGCCATGCTAGAGAAAGTTTGTGCGCCTGTGAGAAATTACCTGAAGCAGAGAGAAGACACCATCAGATGCATTCTGAACACTTTGATGAGTGAGGAGGAGAATGAACTGACTAGAGAACTTAGTGCCACCACTGGAACACTCTTTAACAGCAATGAAGACAGTGACTTGGAGATAGATGACTGGGAAAAGTGGAGACCTCAGTCAAAAGATATGCCAACTGATTTGAAATCTAAAACTTCCAAATCTGCTGATATAGTTTCAACTCTTTGCAATATTTACCGTAGTGCTGACTTATTTGTGAACGAGTATCGAAGTCTCATTGCTGAAAAACTTCTGACAACTTCAAACTACGATATAAGTGTAGAAATGAGAAATATGGAGTTGCTAAAAGTGGGATTTGGAGTAGATCTGTCACAGTGTCAGATAATGTTACAAGATGTTGTAGACTCCAAGCGCAATCACTCTAATATAATGAACAACGTCAAACAACAATTCCACTTTGACATCAGCACTCTCATCATATCTCACGTATTTTGGCCTAATCTCAGAAACGAAGAGGTGACCATTTACAAACCGTTACAAGATTATCTTGCCGGGGAATACCAGGCCGCTTATTCGGAATTAAAGAGATCAAGAACTTTGGAATGGAAGCTTAATTTAGGTTTTGTAGAATTGGATCTAGAGTTTGAGGAGAGAACACTCTCGTTCACTGTCTCCCCAGTCCAAGCAACTATAATCTTGTGTTTTGAGGAGAGTGAAAAATGTCACGCAGATACTATCTCCAACACTGTGGGTTTATCACTCAGTCAAACACGGAAAAAGCTAGCTTTCTGGGTGACAAACGGGGTGTTGAAAGAAACCTCTAAAGATATGTTTGAGCTGGAGAAGGAGGTGAAAGAGTCGGGGGGAATGGTGGTTGAGGAGATGGATAGTGCGATGGTAAAGATCGAGCAGGTTAGGGAGGAGGAGTTGGAGGGATACACTAACTTCGTCATGGGACTCATCAACCAGTCTGGACAGGTTAGACAAATCCTTCATTTCTGTAATATAAAATATTTTGTATGACTGTTATGCAAGGGTCGACCGAGTTCGAGTCCTCGGTTTTACCGAGAAATAGCGATTTTTCCTCGGCCTCGGCCTCGGTCAGGAGGACAATTCCTCGGTTTGCCTCGGCCTCGGTTAAAAATTAAGTTGCTATTCCTCGGCCTCGGCGAAATTTTGAAGATTTTAAGGGTCGACCTCGGCCTCGGTTTTACCGAGGAATAGCGATTTTCCTCGGCCTCGGTCAGGAGGACAATTCCTCGGTTTGCCTCGGCCTCGGTTTTATCAAAGCAAAATTTTCTCGGCCTTGGTCGCAAATCCTGCTCTCGGTCGACCCTTGTTGTTAAGTGTTTAATCGATCTTAATTTCAACGTAAATTGTATCCATAATTGTAAATAATATGAGAGCTTTCTTCGGCCGCATTAACCATGCTTACCACCCAGATAACGGTAGACCGGGTACACAAGATGTTGTCTTTGTTACTCTCCGACTCTGTAGCAGGCCAGCTCACTCAGGAGGAAGTCAAAAATTTCCTCGATAAGAAAGTGAAACAGAAACTCTTGGCATTCACCGGTGGAGTGTACAAAAAACCAAAGTGACGGCGGATGAGCTTATATCTTGACTCAATAAATGTTATTTGCTCAAATTTATTTGCTTTTTAATTGAATTAATTCCGTTTACAGAGTAATTTATTGAGATGACGAACTTAAGAATTGATAATTTTATCAGTATATTTGTACATCATATTTGTTTGCAAGTTTACAAAAATAGGTCTAAAAATAGGTCTTGTATAATTTATATCATCATCTTCTCTGCATCTTGTACATTCCTTATTGTTTTTGCTTAGTGAAATAAAGTACAGTTGACATTAATTTGATCCTAGTTTGATGAATCTATTTATAGACATTTATTATTATTCGCATTACGCAGTGCTATCATGTATTCTGTAATGATAGTTAATGTTAACCCGCATTGTTTAAGGATGTAGTTAATTTGTCGGTTCCCACTTTGATGTTGCGTTGTCATGGACCCTAACGGCGTGTTAGCTTCTGGTGAGCTGCTCAAATGGACCAACTATATTCTCGGTTGGCAGGTAACATTCTAGAATAATTTACAGCATAAAATGTATCGTTGGCTGTTTTTAAAAGGGCTTATCTCAAAGATAACCGTGTTGAGTTATTGACGTTGTTTCCCAGTATTTTGGGTCGTCAAACATTATATGAAGTTTTCTTAAAGAGGAAAGTTGCACTACCAGATACTTCTAATTTCATCAAAAATATTAGTCCTGACCAAAGTTATGGGTCGTTAAAGGTCAGCGGGTAATTATGTATAATTCTATTGCAAGACAAATTTCAAACGCGATTTCTGAAAAATTATCACTTTCAAACTTCATTCCCGGATTCCTCCTACAATTTTTGTGGGATCACATTGAAACTTGGCAGGCATTAACTAGACTTTAGAAACTTACGGCCGTTTTAGTTATATGAGTTAGGTCTATATAAAATGTACTCAACTCGAGTTAAGCCCTTTTTATAATACGCTGAGGATATTATATATTGACTATTTTAGTGTATAAATTTCACTAGAACTATCATTGAAATTATAGAAGGTTTACTTGAGAAATGTAATATTCTTAAATTCCTGATGATGGACAACTCGACACTCAAAGACGGTTGGAATTTTAGTGGACCGAACATTGTTTTTTGTGTGTATTCATGTTGTGGGACATTGTTCTCAAATGCCAAGTTGTCCACTACACTTTGTTAGGATTGGCTGTACAGAGCAATATTCAATATACCAGAAAATAGACGCTAGAACACATAACCTACAAAAGAACTCTACAAGTCCAAATGTTGTAGTTAATGTAAATAATTCTCTGCACAATATTACTACGCATGTACCAAAGTGAACAGTAACTACCGCTTCCACTACTGTTATAGGCATGTAGATTGTAGAGCCGTGATAATAAATACAGTTTTTCTAATGATCTAGGAAAATTCTTGTTTAAAACTAGCGAAGAAGGAAAGTGCAATTTTCGGCCGAATAAAAATATTAAGATGACACCTGCGTAAACAGTTTTCGTTCGTGTTATATCAAAGTCTGGATGCCATCTGTTCATTACTAGACCATGATCATTGGATCACGAATTGATTTCAGTGCCAAAGTTGTGACCACGTGACGGTAACGTGTGGGATTCTGTTACCGTTACTAGCTAGTGTCTAGCTAGGGTCTAATATACTGCTCCGAGTTATCCTTGTTTTCATTGTTATACATTGTGGGGGTGTGCATTCCATTTATATGTAAAACAAATTCTTTGATGTAAAACAAATTCTTTGATGTGAAACAAATTCTTTGATGTAAAACAAATTCTTTGATGTGAAACAAATTCTTCAGCTTGTTTTCATTGTTATATAAATTGTGTAGGTGAACATTCCATTTGATTTTGAATGTAAGATAAATTCTTTGTATCAGTACTACAATGGGTAAGGGTTTATTACTTATTAGGTACACTTAAAAACGTTTAATGCGCTAATTTGAGGTATTGGAAATCTAGCTGGCATAATTCCACGACTTTTAATAAACATAAGGGTTATCTGGCGCACAGATATATGTCTTGCCTTTCTCATTAGGTACATTAATATTTGCACAAATATTTAATTTTGTAAGATTTCCAAAATTGGTGTCTAGTGAACAGTTTACTGTATTTTTTACGTGATTACTGATTATATTCCAGGTTCGTTATTTCAAGCTAGCACGTGATGGATACATTAGCTACAGTCTATCCAAGGAAGACAGCATGGGTACAAAAGGGTCTATCAAAATCGATAAAATGATTTTGCAGGTAAAGAATTTACATTGTAACAATTTATTCCTCTCCGAACATCAAGCATTGCACCATATCAGCAGTCTTCACGTTACCCATCGCATCCCAACAGCAGTGTAGTATACAATGTAATATACATATACTATGTTGTATGCTATGTTGTATACTATGTTGTATAGTGTATACAATGTTGTATAATGTATACTGCGTTGTATAAGTAAATAAGTTTCTTTAATTGCCTAGTGACAAAATAGCCTGGTTGATAACTTGATTCTATAATATAATCTCCCCAGCTTCACAAGCAGTCAGAAGTGAGGTTTGACATAGTGACCCCGTCAGTAACCTGGTACTTGAGATCGTACACTCCCCTTGACAGGGACACTTGGACTGGTATTATTGAAAAACAGCGGGTAAGTGAAATAAAAAATAATTATTAATTAACCTACGTTTTCTGCTTGACTTCACGTTAGGAAAGAACATGTGCTGTTACGAAAACCACGTGCAATTATTTAATTAATCAATATTTGGCACTAAAAACATGTCATAATTTGTACATTCCCCGTTTGTTTTACGTTTTGTTTCAGGAAGTGTTGCCCATGTCAATAAGTCGGGAGGGATCAGTTCTGCTCCTTGCACAGTCTTCCTTAGAAGTAAGTAGTTACTTTTATTAATTAATTTAATGAGAATAATACATTTTTGCTTTTATTTAGCACCACCGTATAGTCTGTACTTGAGTAACAGGGCGGTATAATGTCTAATATTTGAGTTACGGAATAATGATCTCAAAATCATGTTTTGATCATGATATAAAACGATATCGTGTAGCTCCGGAAGTTTATATCATGAAACTATAAGAAATACTCGGCACACAGATACACATGTCTAGTACCCCTAATATAACTGTCTCACACGATGGTAGTGATCACTGAGTACAGTAGGGTGTATTGTGTAGTAGTAGCTGGTATGTTACTCGCTTTACTAATAGTTGTAGGTTCTTCAGAAAAGTTAAGTTTGCTCTATTTTCTTTTCCAAAAAACGGAAGAAGTGTTGTGTGAGCGTTTTATAAGTTGGTTCTAATTGAATAATTTACATTTCCTGATAGTAAACTTGAAATGTTTGTGCGCTTGCTTGTAATTCGCTTTATTTCTCGGCGTATTCCTAGTTTTGGTATGCTGAAGTATGTTGTTCGGCGCAGGTTGGTTCGATGTAACCATAAGATAATAATATAACCTTTAGTACTGACATTCTGGGGTTTTATTTTGCTGAACGTTTTATCTTTTTTTACTGATTTTCTTTTCTGAGGACAGAATGCAGTGAGGATAGTCAGAAATGATATAAATCTGTTCCAGTTTCTTGATTTAAAATCGCACGGAGAGTATTTAAAACAAAATTTGGTAATTTGTGTACCAAAATATTCGACAGAACTCTCCAAACTAGTCAAACAATCATGACGTAAAATGTGGGTAAACTATAATCAAATTAATGACAAGGTAATATAATGATCTGATATCAAAGCTAATAGATAAAATTCAATAGAAGATGCTCAAATCATACGATCACCTCATTCAACTGAAAACTCAGCCGTTTAGTGCTGATTTATTTTATTGATGCATGGCTCCTTTGCACAGGATTTTAAATTTTAACTTTGGGATGCAGCTAATTGTACAGAAAGTTATTTTCTTTCCCTTATTTAGCGTGGCAGCTTGTGCGCTATGACGTAAAGGATTCGCAAAATACTCTGAATTTTAATACACATCTCAAATTATTATCAGTCTGATAACATTTAGTTGATAAAAAATGTAAGATCTAGTTATTTGTGGTGACCAATTCTTTACCGTCTAGTTATTCTGCTATAAGATTCATTCGTATGCAAATTGCGGAGTGTTTATTTAGTGAAAAATTATATAATGATTTCCTGATTTCACCTCATATATCTTCTGGACAACAGTTGTGCACCAAAGCTGTGACTGCCAACTACAATCTTGAATCGGTGATGCGCAGGTGTGCGCCAAGAACCTTGTATACTTGTATAGGCCCCCAACCCCATCCTTATATTTTACTGTTAAAGTAAGGAACATGGTCAGCTTACTGAGGTCTTACTGTAGTCAGCTTACTGTTAAAGTAAGGAACATAGTCAGCTTACTGAGGTCTTACTGTAGTCAGCTTACTGTTAAAGTAAGGAACATGGTCAGCTTACTGAGGTCTTACTGTGGTCAGCTTACTGTTAAAGAAAGGAACATAGTCAGCTTACTGTAGTCAGCTTACTGTTAAAGTAAGGAACATGGTCAGCTTACTGAGGTCTTACTGTGGTCAGCTTACTGTTAAAGTAAGGAACATAGTCAGCTTACTGTGGTCAGCTTACTGTTTAAGTAAGGAATATGGTCAGCTTACTGAGGTCTTACTGTAGTCAGCTTACTGTTAAAATAAGGAACATGGTCAGCTTACTGATGTCCTACTGTAGTCAGCTTACTGTTAAAATAAGGAACATGGTCAGCTTACTGATGTCCTACTGTAGTCAGCTTACTGTTAAAGAAAGGAACATGGTCAGCTTACTGATGTCTTACTGTAGTCAGCTTACTGTTAAAGAAAGGAACATGGTCAGCTTACTGAGATCTTACTGTGGTCAGCTTACTGTTAAAGTAAGGAACATGGTCAGCTTACTGAGGTCTTACTGTAGTCAGCTTACTGTTAAAGTAAGGAACATGGTCAGCTTACTGATGTCTTACTGTGGTCAGCTTACTGTTAAAATAAGGAACATGGTCAGCTTACTGAGGTCTTACTGTGGTCAGCTTACTGTTAAAGAAAGGAACATGGTCAGCTTACTGAGGTCTTACTGTAGTCAGCTTACTGTTAAAGTAAGGAACATAGTCAGCTTACTGAGGTCTTACTGTAGTCAGCTTACTGTTAAAGAAAGGAACATGGTCAGCTTACTGAGGTCTTACTGTGGTCAGCTTACTGTTAAAGTAAGGAACATGGTCAGCTTACTGATGTCCTACTGTAGTCAGCTTACTGTTAAAGTAAGGAACATGGTCAGCTTACTGATGTCCTACTGTAGTCAGCTTACTGTTAAAGAAAGAAACATGGTCAGCTTACTGAGGTCTTACTGTGGTCAGCTTACTGTTAAAGTAAGGAACATGGTCAGCTTACTGAGGTCTTACTGTAGTCAGCTTACTGTTAAAGTAAGGAACATGGTCAGCTTACTGAGGTCTTACTGTGGTCAGCTTACTGTTAAAGTAAGGAACATGGTCAGCTTACTGAGGTCTTACTGTGGTCAGCTTACTGTTAAAGTAAGGAACATGGTCTGCTTACTGAGGTCTTACTGTGGTCAGCTTACTGTTAAATAAGGAACATGGTCAGCTTACTGAGGTCTTACTGTGGTCAGCTTACTGTTAAAGTAAGGAACATGGTCTGCTTACTGAGGTCTTACTGTGGTCAGCTTACTGTTAAAGTAAGGAACATGGTCAGCTTACTGAGGTCTTACTGTGGTCAGCTTACTGTTAAAGTAAGGAACATGGTCAGCTTACTGAGGTCTTACTGTAGTCAGCTTACTGTTAAAGTAAGGAACATGGTCAGCTTACTGAGGTCTTACTGTGGTCAGCTTACTGTTAAAGTAAGGAACATGGTCAGCTTACTGAGGTCTTACTGTAGTCAGCTTACTGTTAAAGTAAGGAACATAGTCAGCTTACTGAGGTCAGCTTACTGTTAAAGTAAGGATAATGGTCAGCTTACTGAGGTCTTACTGTGGTCAGCTTACTGTTAAAGTAAGGAACATAGTCAGCTTATTGAGGTCAGCTTACTGTTAAAGTAAGGAACATGGTCAGCTTACTGAGGTCTTACTGTAGTCAGCTTACTGTTAAAGTAAGGAACATGGTCAGCTTACTGAGGTCTTACTGTGGTCAGCTTACTGTTAAAGTAAGGAACATGGTCAGCTTACTGAGGTCTTACTGTAGTCAGCTTACTGTTAAAGAAAGGAACATGGTCAGCTTACTGAGGTCTTACTTTAGTCAGCTTACTGTTAAAGCAAGGAACATGGTCTGCTTACTGAGGTCTTACTGTGGTCAGCTTACTGTTTAAGTAAGGAACATGGTCAGCTTACTGAGGTCTTACTGTAGTCAGCTTACTGTTAAAGAAAGGAACATGGTCAGCTTACTGAGGTCTTACTGTAGTCAGCTTACTGTTAAAGTAAGGAACATGGTCAGCTTACTGAGGTCTTACTGTGGTCAGCTTACTGTTAAAGTAAGGAACATGGTCAGCTTACTGAGGTCTTACTGTAGTCAGCTTACTGTTAAAGTAAGGAACATGGTCAGCTTACTGAGGTCTTACTGTGGTCAGCTTACTGTTAAAGTAAGGAACATAGTCAGCTTACTGAGGTCTTACTGTGGTCAGCTTACTGTTAAAGTAAGGAACATGGTCAGCTTACTGAGGTCTTACTGTGGTCAGCTTACTGTTAAAGTAAGGAACATAGTCAGCTTACTGATGTCTTACTGTGGTCAGCTTACTGTTAAAGTAAGGAACATGGTCAGCTTACTGAGGTCTTACTGTGGTCAGCTTACTGTTAAAGTAAGGAACATAGTCAGCTTACTGTGGTCAGCTTACTGTGGTCTTACTGTAGTCAGCTTACTGTTAAAGTAAGGAACATGGTCAGCTTACTGAGGTCTTACTGTAGTCAGCTTACTGTTAAAGTAAGGAACATGGTCAGCTTACTGAGGTCTTACTGTGGTCAGCTTACTGTTAAAGTAAGGAACATGGTCAGCTTACTGAGGTCTTACTGTGGTCAGCTTACTGTTAAAGTAAGGAACATGGTCAGCTTACTGAGGTCTTACTGTGGTCAGCTTACTGTTAAAGTGAGGAACATGGTCAGCTTACTGAGGTCTTACTGTGGTCAGCTTACTGTTAAAGTAAGGAACATGGTCAGCTTACTGTGGTCAGCTTACTGTTAAAGTAAGGAACATGGGCAGCTTACTGAGGTCTTACTGTAGTCAGCTTACTGTTAAAGTAAGGAACATGGTCAGCTTACTGAGGTCTTACTGTGGTCAGCTTACTGTTAAAGTAAGGAACATAGTCAGCTTACTGTGGTCAGCTTACTGTTAAAGTAAGGAACATGGTCAGCTTACTGTGGTCTTTCTGAGGTCAGCTTACTGTTAAAGTAAGGAACATAGTCAGCTTACTGAGGTCTTACTGTGGTCAGCTTACTGTTAAAGTAAGGAACATGGTCAGCTTACTGAGGTCTTACTGTAGTCAGCATACTGTTAAAGTAAGGAACATGGTCAGCTTACTGAGGTCTTACTGTGGTCGGCTTACTGTTTAAGTAAGGAACATAGTCAGCTTACTGAGGTCTTACTGTAGTCAGCTTACTGTTTAAGTAAGGAATATGGTCAGCTTACTGAGGTCTTACTGTAGTCAGCTTACTGTTAAAGTAAGGAACATGGTCAGCTTACTGAGGTCTTACTGTGGTCAGCTTACTGTTAAAGTAAGGAACATGGTCAGCTTACTGTGGTCAGCTTACTGTTAAAGTAAGGAACATGGTCTGCTTACTGAGGTCTTACTGTGGTCAGCTTACTGTTAAAGTAAGGAACATGGTCAGCTTACTGAGGTCTTACTGTAGTCAGCTTACTGTTAAAGTAAGGAACATGGTCAGCTTACATTGGTC